CCCCCTTCCCCAACTATCCACTCAAACCCCACCCACCACAATCAATCCCCACTGACACACCATCGAAAACAAATCTACCCTCAACCTCTATCCAAGAATGCGCATTAAAATCCAACACACAGTTAAAACATCGCAAAAGATTTCATCTGAACGGAGGAGTAATAAAAGAACGAGTAGTGTAACGTAGGTATCTAATAATATTTCCAGCCACGGTACATCTAGACGAAAGAGAATTGTATGTCGATTTGGTGAATGCTGGGTCGACTCTGTACAACCTACAGATAGATACCCCAATGGGGATATATATACCTTCTTCCTTCTCCCAAAACACTCAGGAGTCAGGACTTACACGCACGCATACCAATTCCCCAGAAGTCCAACAAAAAACCCTTCTCTGCTCGAAATTGCCCTACAATCCAGAAATAGAAACTACCATGAGCACAGTATCACCGTACTCCTACCTTACCCCAACCAACTACAGTAGCTCGTAAAACCCCGCACAACAACAACAAGATGTCTTTCCGACTCTTTCGATTGTTACCGTACGTAGAGAATCTTGTGAATGTTACTATATGAATACAGCATATCTAAAACACAGGAAGCCAGCCAGTTGCAGAATCGTGACATTCTAGTTGGCTATTTCGAGGAATTCAGAGATTCAAGGATTCAAGGATTCAAGGATTCAAGGATTCCATTGAACATGATAGATTCAAGAATTAAAACTTGCAGTAAGGTTTATAGAAAGGAATAGAGTATGGATGGGCCTCTGATGGAATGCAAACGGTAATGGCAGGAAAGCAAAGCAAAGGAAAGGGACGGAAAAGAAGAGTTATGGTATTGTATAGCCAATAAGTGAGCATCTGAATGAGCAGGGAATTCCACGTAAATCAACCCGTATACGAGAATTCTCTAGGGTATAGGGGTACGTACCGTTTCCTCCTATCTACTAAGCAGACCGCTCAATCCCTCACCAAGACCACCCACCAGCACCTCACCCAACCTTCCACACCCCATCCCCATCCCATCACCCTAAAACTCCTCACCCAGCACCTTCTTAAGAACCCCCATCTCCTTCTCCCACCCCTCAACCTTCATCTGACTCCCCGCCAACTTCGCCAACAAAAACTGCACCCTAGGCCCCACCTCACTAGGCTGTTTCGGCAAAGCCCCAAGAACAGCCAGCTCCGCCTCGACCTTCTCAATAGCCTTCTCCTCAACCTTACTCAGCTCCTTAAGAACACTGAGATCCAGCCTGCTTCTCAGGACCTTATCTTGGGTTAGTTGTCGGAAGGCAGCTTGGTAGACCGGTCTGCCCGCGACGATCTTCTGCGGTCGGCCTTTGTAGGTTTTGATGGTGATGAGTTCGGCGGCGGAGAGGGCTTCGAGGACGGATTCCGGGTTGGATGCCGATGCGGTGAGGGAGGAGGAGAAGGTGGGGGAGAGGAGAACTTCGTTGTATTTGAGGGCTTCTTCGTTGGCGAGTTTGGAGACGAGGTACCATGCTTGTTCGGGGGTCCATTTCTTGCCTTCGCCTGATCCCGAGGAAGGGGAGGAAGAAGTGGTAAGTAAATACATTTTCAGAATCTCAGATGCGCTCTGCTCAATTATCTCGGTTACTGCACGGTTGGGGGACTGTCCGGTCTTGAGTCTACGCGCGAGGAATTCCAAGTCTGTGAGACGACCACCGAGGACATCTATACAGCCGTCTAGTTCCATAAGGTCTTCTCGGCGTTGGGAGGGCGTCAGGGCCTTTTCATCGCTCTCCGCTTCATGACCTTTCTTTTTGGAAGATGTATCGGAGTCAAGGTGAGTTATGACGAAACGTTTTGCTACTTCGGGGGATATGTCTCCTAAGGCGATTTGGCGGAATACACGATCAGGGAGTGCTTTTGACAAGGATTTCGAGTAGGAAATGTCGTTTGTCAGAAAGATGACGTGCACAATGTTAGTTGTTGTCAGAGAAGCGGCCCATTCGGAGAGCTTGTCGTAGATCAGGGAAGAGTCTTCTGATTTGTGTAGGAAGTTGTCTATCACTACAACAGGTCTGTATTCCGGGTGAGCTTCTAGCCAATCTATTCTTGCATTAGTATCAAGTTCCAAGAGAAACGGAGGGTGGATGCCAAGGAGAAAGCCTTACCATCATCAGAAAGATTCGCATCTTTATCATCATCATCTCGATGCGCCAAAGCAACCTGCTTCATGGCAACCTTGGTATTCTGCCAAATCTTCCCGAGCTGCGCATCAAGCGTCTCACTGAAACCACTCTTTACTCCAATAGTCCCCTGAGCCGCAAGATCAACCAATGAACTAATACTATTCATCCACGAGAATATAGGGCGATATCCCACTTCGCTCGCAGCAGCAGCAATCGTCGAACTATCACCTCGTGCCTCTTGAATTGGTTTACAATCAATAATCAATGTGTTTTTCCGCCCTTTCAGTGCTTGGTCAAGAATAAGTTCTCGTTTCCCGGACCCGCGAGGGCCTTGGATCACGATAAATGTGTCGGCTGTTTCCATAAGCCAAGTTTGAATTTGATCAATAATTTCCTTCCGATCATCCCAAATAGCACCAAGGCTAACATCTTGCTCTTTCGGCTTACGGAAGGTAAGAATATCAGTAGCTTGACTCTTGAACCACTTGTAGATCTTATTCTCGTTGAGTTGAAACGAGTGGTCAATCTTGGCCTTGATGAAAAATGTCCGAATAGGGTCGAAAACTGCAACCGTGACAGTAGCAAGCAGCGCCGCAACAGCAGGTATCACGACTCGCGGATGATTCACAATCCAGTCTCTAATCAAATGAGCTTTGATCTTCTGCTCGAAAGAAAGTCGTAATTTCGTTGCTGCGGCTCCACCACCCTCTTCTTCCAGTACTTTGAAGCCGTGCAGACAATTCTTTGCCATGATGGATTGGCGCATCTTGCTGAAATCCACATAAGCATATTTGGGTAGGACCTTTGAGTCGGATGGCTGGGAAGTGATTTCCGAAAGTTTCCCATAGCGACGGAATAGACTGTAAATTGTTTCTTGTGATAATTCCGCGGCTTCCTTACCAGATGTTGCAGGAACGAATTCGATTTTAATTCTGCGACTTGGAAAGCGGTAGAGATCTTCTAACCAGGGTTTTCCGACGACTAGTTTGGCTCGAATCCGGGAGAAGGGGTTGTACCATGGTTTTATTGGGTTTTCTTGTAGGTATGTTGCGAGACGACCTATGTCCTGTTAGCTCTACCCTCTTTGAAGGGTGGTTGCAATTCTAACTCTCAATTTCCTGAGCCGTAACACCACCCTCATGTTGGAATTTCACAAAAGCACCTCTGCCCACAGTAAGCTCCTATCCATCCCTAGTACCAGGAAAATACCCACCCATCCTTCAGCCTCGGAAGTATCTCCGTAACCTTCAAAGGAATTGACTCTGGAATAGCCCTCTTCACCAAATTCAAAGGATCATAACGACTCAGAGCCGTATTATTATACCTCCACATCATATCCGAGAGATTTCTCCCACCTCTCAGCGGCAAATGCAGTAGAAATCGTAGCTTAAGTGGGAACACATCTACACAATCACCATAATCAGCAAGTGTTCCAATAAAAAACTCTAGAATACTCTCATAATTATCTACAACACGGATATGGAACAGATCTAACATACTATCAAAAAACAAAATCCCCTCATTAGCATTCGCCTTTATATGCCCCGTCGCATCCTCCCCAATCTGCGTACTCTCCCTCCTCACACTTCCTCTCGCACATTTCCATCCTGAATTTACCGTCCCCTTCCCTAATCCCACCCGAAGCAGAGAGGTAGCATTATAAATATCCCTCGTGTGAGGTTTCTTTGTGCGAAGACTCGGAATACTCGTAGGATTGAACAGGACGCGGCGAGTGGTGGTGTATGGCATTGTGCCTGCGTAAAGTGGCAATACTGCCTTGGCTTATACACTCATTTCGTTGGGCATTGAAGTGGTCGTTCGAATGTAGAGAACGAGTGTGTGTGAAGGGATTGTGTGAAGTATGAGGGGAGGTGGAGGGGTAAGGTGGAGAAGGGATGAGCTGTACCTACTGTTGACGGGAATTCCTGACATCATACCTACATGCATGAGGCTGAGAAAACCCTCCCTGCGCCGAAGATCTCGCGTGGGGGCCAAGAACGTCAAGATCCTTGTCTGTACGAGTAGAGCCGCAGAACTCAATGCTTAATGATAGCCTCATCAACCTCGTCTCTCTGAATCGCATCAGATCTCAAGGTGGCTCAATTGAATCGCAAAAATGGTCTGGCCATTCTCTTCGCCGTCCGAGGAGTCCTCCTCCACCTCTGTACAAAATACAGACCAATTACCAACTCAATCAACCCCAAACCCAGCACCTTCAACCTCAAAATCACTCACCCGCGACGAACTAGCAGACCAAGAACTAAATTCCTTCCTACGCGAACTATCAACCGACACCTCCCCCACGGCACCCAAATCCAAGATCTTCACCCGCCAACCACGCTCTCCCACAACCCCCTCTTCCTCTCCCCCTTCCACCTCAGACCCCTCACCCTCGCCCGAAACCCTCCAATCCCTCCTCCTCCCCCAAACACTCTCCTGCCGAACCGCCTTCACTCTCCCCCTTCCACCTCAGACCCCTCACCCTCGCCCGAAACCCTCCAATCCCTCCTCCTCCCCCAAACACTCTCCTGCCGAACCGCCTTCGACGAAGCCTTCTACTGCAACTCCTTCGGCGGGAAATTCACCGATCTCTACCGCCACGGCGAATTCCGCGCCTGTTCCGAGAACTGGTCCAAATTCTGGTTCTGCATGCGGACACGCACGTTTTCCTCGCCGCAGAAGGAAAATGAGATAAGGGAGTTTTATAGGAAGAGGGAGGAGGGAAAGTATGGGAGGGGGAGGCCGAGTAGTGAGGATGTGTGGGAGAGTCGGGAGAGGAGGGTGGAGTGGGGGACTGCGTTTCAGGCTGCGGAGACGGATAAGGGGGAGGGGATGGGGATGGGGATGGGGGATGAGGAGTGGAATGAGAGGGAGAGGGCGAGGAGGAGGGCTGTTGTTGAGGGGAGGTCGTGAGGTGGTGGATTGCTGAGATGGTGGTTATTAAGGTGGTGTATGCAAGAAAGTGCCGTTGAGGAAAATAGAATTCTTGATAGAAGAGGAGTTTAAGAGAAAAGCTCAAGGCACGCAGACATGATGTCTGGACTTTGAAAGCCGTATTGACTTCGGGTGATGATATGAGGCAGGATTGGCCAAAAACGAGCCACAAGATGTCAGGAATGTATGAAAATGTACTTCAATGAGCACTGTAATTTTACGATCACAAGGAAACATTCATCTCAAATCTTCTCAACCGGACCAAAGAAAAAGAAATATTTCCGTGGAATATATTCATTATCCAATTACGGACAAATCTTCTATGTTCACTGCGCTCAATATTGGGCATTATGAAAAAATACCAATGGAAACACCTTCCATCATACACAAACGCCGTTTTCCCGGCTCTCTCCTTGGTATTATGCACCATTGAATTCCCCAAAAGAAAAACTTATCTCATGACGTCTTCCTTAACTGTGGTCTTTTGTCCAACCATCATTCTGCCCAATCTCATGGATTAAAACACAAACAAAAGAAACGAAACCCTTCAACGCATATCCATCAACGCAAATCCATGGCGCCTCAAATTGATCTTATACAAGGTTGACTTCAGCTCCTTCGCCTCTGCTTTCATACTTTGCTTCCCCTCTACATACCTTTTCTTTACATCCCCATTCCATTTGACATCCCGTTCATTCCATGTTGTAGTCCATGCTGTTGTGCCAACATTTGTTGATGTTGTTGTATGGCTGCTTGCTTGTTTTGTATAATCCCTTGGACCATCAAGTGAGCATCTTGCTGACATTTCATTCGGAATGCCTGATCAACCTCGGGAGGAATGCCATTGGGATGTTGGTTCTGCAATTGTGGCAGCTTCTCATTGTAAAATCTGGTCGCACGATTCCGAATCTCCATTTGGATAGCTGCTGGTGGAATTCCTCCAACGCCTGGAACACCCTGTCGGGCTTGATTTTGCGCATGTGCTTGAGCTTGAGCTTGAGCCTGAACTTGCGCCTGTACCATCTGAGCATTCCGCATCTGTGCCGCTTGTGCCTGTTGCTGCTGCTGTTGTTGCATATGCATTTGCATTTGAATGCTGGCAGGCACGCCGGGACTACCGTTCATGAAATTCTGGTTCATGTTTTGTGGTATACCACGACATTGAGCAGCCATCTGGGCGGCCATTTGCGCTGTGTACCCTTGCGGAAGTTGTCCGTTAGCGACCATACCCATGCCTTGCTGTTGCTGTTGCTGCTGACGGAGCAATTGTGCATGCATCATCTGTTGTTGCTGTGGACTAAGTCCTTGTCCGTTTGCCATTCCTGCCATTTGTTGTTGCTGTCGCATCATTTGCATTCTCTGTTGTGCTTGCAACTGCTGTTGTTGAGCAGGAGTCAAATTATTCACCATCATTGGCATATTTGGTGCATGAGCAATTGGACCTTGTACCGGACTTCCTTGGCTCATTCGGGGAGTCTGGCTCATCTGGCGATTGAGAGGAGTTTGTTGGATTTGAGGAGTGGTATTTGGAATCCTGGGCGTACCAGCATGACTTTGTTGACTTCTCTGGGCTTGCATAGCATGGGATGTTGGTACTCCCATCTGTGGGTTTTGATGGACAACTGATCCAGGTCGAGGAGGACTCCCGCCCATACTCGAATTGGATTGCTGCATAGGTCCACCTCCCATTGCGTTAACTACAGGTGATGATTGGCTTTGTGGCGTTCCAGTTCTTATGATGGGAGAGGAAGCTTGAGCTTGCGAAACCTGCTGCTGATGGAAGCGTTGTGGTTGCGCTTGCATCCCATTACTCACTACATTGTTACCCTGTGGGTGTCCGTGCTGATTTTGCTGGGCTTGCATTTGAGCCATGTTTTGTTGAGATCGAGCATGAGCAGCCATCTGTCGCTGGTGTTCTTGTTGTTGTTGGCGAGCAGCAGCAACTTGCCGTTGCTTATCTTGGAAGAGTTCTTTCTTTTCGGACTCGATTCTAAGGCGCTCCCGGTCTCGTTCCTGGGTTTGCTTCCTCTCGTTTTCTTGTTGTAGAAGCTTCTCGGCTTTCTTATATTCCTCATGCTGGTTCCTGATATTTTCAAGAGTCTTGAACCTCTCAAAGCGCGGCTCAAAGGATGCGCCCCCAGCTTGACCATCGCCGTCTGCTGGATTTCCACCGCCCTGCGCGTTTGCAGCATTGGAGGAAAGTCGCTCGTCCATTATCAACATGTAACGTTCTCGTTCTGCTGCAAGAGCTTCGTCCGCCGCCATCTCTGCCACAGTCCTCTTTCGTGTCTTGGGTGACGGAGGCTTTGCCGAGTGCATTGGGTGCTCTAGTGCGCTCAAAAGAGTGGCAGCTTCTCCAGCACTATTGACTGGCTCAAGGAACAGGGGAGCATTAGTAGCCAGGGCAATCTGTGACCCTGCCCAGTAAATACTGCCAATATCAATGTCTGTCTTGTTCTTCTTAAGTTTCTTCGCTGGTGGGAGCATAGCCGTCTGAGGCGCCGGAGAAATGGCAGTAGAAGGAGTTGGAGGTACAGTTGCTGATAATGGGCCAGCATCAGCTCGAGAACCTCTTCCTCCTTCACTTGATATTGATTCAGCGGCTTTAACTGCAAGGTCAACGTGGTTACTCAGGGGTGTGGGGCGCAAAACTATAGTCGAGACCTTTGGTTTCTTGGGTAGGTTGGTGGTTCCTTTGCCTCGAGAAGCGTCCCCAGGTAAAGAAGGAGCCGGCATGTTCTCTTTATCCTTTTGCTCCTGTTTACTCTTACCATCATCGGTATCCGAACTATTCCTTCCTTTGCTCGAAATATGGTTCTGCTGAGAGGGAAACGGGACGTAAGATGAGGGTGTAAGGTAGGCATTATAATTGTGTACCGAAAATGGGACAGTCTTGCCCACTCCGGACTTTGCTTGTGCTGGTCCTTGCGATGGCGCTATTGACTTGTGGTCGTGTATTTGGACAATCATACATCCCTCATAGAAAGGCATATCCGTAAAGAATTCAACCAAGTCATGGGGTACAGTCCGTGTTCGGAGGTGCTCGATTAATATTCGCATGGGAGACTTGTATGAAAAGCTTCCTTCTTGCTCGTCGAATCTAAAATGAGTAGGATGTAAATGTACAATTAAAGAAGGCTTAGAATTGCGATATCGCTTGAGAATGTATTCGTCCGATTTGACTGTCTCGACATTAGTATACACTATCATCAAGCACCCCGGTTCGCGTACCGTATGGTGTAGGTTCCGATATTTGAGGAGCAGCAGAGTCTCCCATCAAACTTGCAGACCGCAATGCAGCACTGCTGTTTCGCTGGCCTCTACCTAGTAGTTGCGCAGAGCCATCTCTGCGCGCCCGGGCAATGGCTCGCGATCCTGCGCTCATGGCTCCCACGCCATTGCCCGTAGCAGAATTCGGTAGTTTGCCGCTATTCGGAAGTCTGCCGGCCGACATCGAGGGAGAGGGAGACGAGGTAGAAGAGTGTATGCCATTTGTTTGGATTCCCGGGGGGATAGGGCGCTTGGCCTTTGATGAGAGCGACTGTGTCGATGTCGCCGAGGGTGCCATCTTTTCTTTATTCAATACAGTCCGAGTCGAAGCCCAAGCCCAAGCACACGTAGATGAGGCTACTGGCCGCTCTCCTTCGCTATCGCAGACTCGAAATTCCTCTCTCCATCTAATGATTGTGTGTACTTGGCTTCTGTCGGATTCTGCCTGACGCGCTCCGAATCCGTGTCAGCGCTGTCGCGTCGCCCCCTTTCCTGGCTTTAGAAGAATATTTCGGACAACGCGATCAGGATGCCGTAATTAATTCTGACGAGCGGAACCTTTTTCGCGATGTAGTGACAGTAGGCGATGATGCGTCGGTTTCCCCAGGTCTGGTCGATGCGGTCGCTTTTGGTGGGGGCATGGGGCTTAGCCTGATTGGGCCGAGCCTTGGAGCTATAAGTTGACTACTCGAGTACACATCCACCACAGAACAATTTCAGAATATCACATTTATATTTGGAGAAAAGGCTCATGAACAACTATTCACAAACTGGCCCACAATTCAATGTAGAAACTGTCTACAAAATAGCGTCAGGTTATACCTATGTTACTCGTTACCTACACTATCTTGGGTGACTTACACCATAAAGACCCTAAGTCTTGGCATAATAGTGGTATTGTATATATCAGACAGTACTCTACTCGGGTAAGTCGGTAAAGCTTCTATCTTGTTTATCAAACATTAGGTAGTAAGTTATCATAGTCAATAGAACGCACTATATCAAAATCGTAAAGTCAAATGGACAACAAACAGATCCCGAAAAGCGTGAAGTTAGCACTGTGCACTGGTATTACCATAATGTTTTAAAACTAAACGTGGAGTTTTTCGTAATATACCCTTGAAAATCTTTGTAGAATTCAGAAGACCATAAACAGAATCACGTTTTCGTCCAGTTGTAGGAGAACTCCTCATTTGTATATTTATTTAAATGTTTGCATCCCTTCCTTGAAAACATGTCCATGAGTAGCTACTTTTCACTTTGTCATTGCATGAAATTTATTGATATGATATCAAGTATTGTCCAATATCCTTTTGAACTACACCTTTACAGTACCTTGAGACAATCACGTCGATAGCACACTCACAACCATCTCTGGTAAACTCGATACGCTAAGTTTCGATTTTACAAAGTCAAAGATTCCCATATCTCCCGGCATAAACAAAATACTTCTTCAAAAAGTTTGGAGCGCAGAGTAAATTGAATTGCTTACTTCCTTCGCGTCGGACGTTGGTGGTCGCTTATTGTAGTGTCATTTACAAAAAGTAAGTCTTACAACGATTCTCATCTGGACAGCCACACCGAAATCTTTACAACATTACACCTTCTTCCCGTTTCAAGGTTACCAAAGTCCTTATACGGAGATTTCAGTAACAGCCCTTCATTATCTCAGGATATTCCTCGAAATATCAAGGTCCCTCGTGTTCTATTAAACCAACCAACACTGATACCAACAAAAAGCTTTCAACGGTTCTCACTAGACTTAATAAGGAAGAAAGTTATCCCGACATAGACGGAGTTCATGAGAACACACCAAACGAAGACCAAATTTAGCTTGAATGGGAATGCAGCATTCAGAAGAACGTAGCAAGCAAAGGAATAGTCTTGCTCGCCATTTCCATTACATTCCTCCACGACGACCAGTCGCTGTTGAATGGTCTCGAAATATCCATGTTTTGCAAAACAAGAAATGTTAGACGATGCATCTCGATCATTCTGACCTTATTCTCTCTTCATTTTCCAGTTGCGTCTTCTGGGTATTTACCGGTACTTGGAAAGAACGAAACACCAACAGAAATGACTTGCTCCTGATTGGATGTCTTCATAGCAGCCTTGTCGTCTGAACTTGACAGGAGTGTGGATTGGATGAAACTCGATACGGAAATGGCCCGTCATTGGCTGCTGTTCAACGAACTCTGGTGTTATACGAATTCATGTGGGGCCGTGGCTGAAAGTCGAGAGGAAAACCCACCAACATTTCAAGGCCTCGCTTCCACTTCATCCAATCTCTCCCTAGTGGTCTTGAACTTCACAAGTCGTAATTTTGTTTTCAATCTTCCTTCAAGCTCCTCGCTACGGTGTCTTTCTTCTTCTTTTTCAATTCCCACAATCCCACAATGGCGTTAGCTAGGCAGACATTTCCGGTACCGTGCAGGTGGGCGACTCAACCAACCTAACACAACCCCAACGTAGCATCATAGCAACACATACCGACCGAATCGCTGGATACTACCATACAGGCGGTAGATCTCGGTTAGACAGGCCGTGTCAAACAAATTGCCGCTCGGTAGCTGCTCATGAACTTATCGACTTCATGGGTATACCGAAGGTTGTTGGATCCAAAACATTGCCGCTGCAAGTACAATATCCCTTTATTACTTTGCTTTCTCCTTTCTCCTTTCTCATTCAAGCACTTTACAATTTTTCATCTTCCTTTTCTTATTTAGTCTTTCACGGTGGTACAAATCCCATCTTGTGGAGCATTTCCTCAATCTCGGTCTCTTCTCAAGGCAACAGCTTTTGTCCCTTGTTGGCGTTGCCAAGGTCCACAGTTCAGGATACTTGCACAAATAGGGGAAAAGAGAAAGAGACATCTTTTCACGTGTTGCTTACTACATTCGGAAAGCGGGAAATTCAATTCATTTGTTTGACTATGATTTTTCTATCGTTTTTCTTGTATTATCGCCATTCGATTTTAGATGCCAAGCTTTTGAAGTCTGGATCCGGCTATTTAGATGTTATGTGATCCACGTTGTTCTGGATAACCTCGCCAATCGGTTGCTTATCCCGGCCAGAAAAAACGATCGGATGAAAAGCTCTGGATTGTTCCATAACTCTAGAAGAAATGTTGGCGCTCGGTAGTGGTGCTCCGACCACGATGCAACACTATAGCTGGCTCAATGCATTGGATTCGGAGGATGGGCGGCACAGGTCCATCCGCTCAGACGCGGTGAGTGAAAAAAAAAGCACAAACTTGAATCAATAAATGCAGAGCTGCTCCCTCAATTCCTCCATTTACATTGGTGATAATTGTGGACGAATCGGTGAAGTTCCCTCACGAAGCATGTTGTGAATGTCAGATCTAATATAAGCCTCTCTCTCGACCACCAGTGCTTTTCATATCGGCTCCCTCTCCAACAAGGCTGGGTTTGTGGAGGCCCCTTATTGGCGACAATGATCTTTTGTTATTCACTATTTCGAATTTTCTTGGCATATATATAGTGTTTGAAACGCTGGCGACAACCACTTCAAGAAACACCTCACGACCGCACTGACTCCATCTCACAATGAACATCTTTACACTGCTCTACATGGTCTGCGTAGCAAGCGCATTGCCGTCATGGCCAAGAGATGACCAAGCATCGACATCGGACGCTGTTTGGTTCCTTCCAAATGCCCCCATAACCAGAGTACTTAGATAGCCCACCTTCACTTCTGCCAGTTCAACCAGCCAATATACTAACACTTCTATAGTACCAGGTAACTGTCATTGTCCCGGCAGTATCACCCGGCGGGGGCTACCATGCAGTCTGGCCCGGTCTCCAAAATGAAGCTGGTACCTTCGTATTCCAAAGTGTCATAGCCGATTCAAAATCCCCAGGTTCTTGGAAGTTCTGGGTAGAATACTGCTGCAAGTAAGCTTTTCATTCCCACATCTTGAGGTGTATAGCATCTAACAGTACATTAGTCCAGATTACAAGGCCACGCCCATCAACGGTACACAATCTATTCCCTGGCCATATGATCGCCTACAAAACTAACGTCTAACCAGTCTACCCCGGAGATTCCATCACCTCTACATTCACACAAGATGGCAATGGCATATGGACAGATTCTTGGTCATATGACCCCGGCCCAAATGGTGCTGCGGCTGGATCACCACCTCAATCTGGATCTACAACTGAGAATTTCGGTGAGATTTCCTTACTCTGTCACTTTCCATTTCTCGACTTTTGACCACCACACTTTCCAAGAAGCAATTAATGCTAACTCACCAAAGCCGACCGAGGACAACTCATTCGCGGTCTCCTTGCTCTAGAATTCCAAAGAGGCGGTAATTGGGATTACGGACAAGTCTCATGGAGTAACATTGCTATCACAGCTTCGACCACCAACGGTTGGTGTGCTAACGGGTACGCAATCAGCTCTCTGCTTCATACAGACTCTTACTACCTCGATCCGTTCCCGTCCCCCTATACAACTTGGCATTTACAACTCATCTACTGACATACCTGAATAGATACTTGGTCTCACCAGCCTTCAACATCGGCATCTCCCCTGGCGCCCAGTCAAGCGACGGTGGATCAACGACATGCTCATGGTCCAATGTAGACTTTCGCGGTCCGTGATTTGGGAAAAATACCAAATGCATCATGGTGACATGTTAAACCTGGGATGAAGGGATCACTGGGGGATATGATGGATATGATGGCTTTGCACGCATGGACCAAAATGAATAAGAGCTGAGGCCTCACCAATAATTTGAGAACTGGTTTCTTACCCGACCGAATGGGTGTCATGGATTGGTGGATGGATTGAAAATGGATAGATGAATACCCCCTTTGCGCTAGTTGGTATGGGTGGCGTTGGCGTTCAGGCTGCAATTACCGGTAGCTTGGGTAATCTCGATTCAGAATTTGAGTATCAAGCCAATCAGTCAACGCTTCACTAAATCCGAGACCGATGTGATATATTGTTGATGTTCATTTTGCTTTATACATCTCATATCAAATACTCGTCCGATGCTGGGAGATGTTGAGTCGAGACTTGTGTCTCAATGAAGCTTTATATAGAGCTATGAACTGGATTGAGGAAAGGGATGAAAGTACCATACCTTGTTTAAATTTATACATCATTTAAATCATCTCCCTTCTCACCCCTTCTCATCCCTCCGCCGCTTATCTTCTATGGAATCTTGTATAAATAGTACTGAGTACATACGTCTTGAACTAAACAAACTGTCTATATATCCACCACGCGAAGACATCCAACATGGAACAAGTGTAAGTGTGAGTGCTGTAGGTATGTGCTTCGAATGTACAGCAGAAAACGGTAAGATGGGGTATAACTTTGCTAGAACATATATCGGTCACTCCACCAGAATGGGAAACTCTTATGTACCCTGGTTTTTCATTTGGAATCGTGGTATGGAGTTGATAACTTAATGCTGTGGAGTGAGTACCTGTGAGGTGTTGTGGAATGTATCGACGCTGTCGGTATGTATCCTACCTTCCCTTGCAATTTTATCATTAGGCAGTGGGCACCTGGATTCGGGGTAGCACTGTCTTTGGTTCTTCTCCCAGCGTAAACGTTGGTTTGAAGTCGTGGGAGGGTGGTTCTGAGTGGGATGCGGAACGGTGGAACGTCTGTGGGTTTTCGGTGGTCTTGATGATGATGTGGATAACTACAGCTACACGACGAGGAAAACCACGAATTCTAAAATTGTATCTTGGGGATTCTTTTGGGTATGGGGTTTATTAATTGTCTGGTTGTGCTGCGCTTGGGAAGGTGGCCATACCCCCTGGCACGCGAAGACTCGCTTAACTTTTCGATCGCTCCCTGACCCCCTCATCAGGAATTCAATACTCAACATCAGACCGAATATAATTTACAGTAGCCTTAAGGTTTCTGCCTCGGAATTCTTTCGACCGACACACTTCATGCGATTCCGCGCTCTGGTGACTTTTCCTGCCTCTTGATCATAATGGGCAGAAACATGTAGGCTGTAAGTCTAAAGGTTGAAACGATACGGACAATCAGTCGCTCTATTATTCATGAAGCACAGAAACGTCACTAAATAAGAGAGTATAGAAAAATACATGAACAATTTAAATTTTCGTACCCTCATAGATCTTAACACTTAACATTAAACATTTCACCCGTAAACAACGCCCCCACCCAACAAATAATTTGCTCCCATATCTATCATTACAGTACCTCAAATTCCCGGGTCCATATATGCTACGCGTGCTACCTTTTGCTCGATGATGTTGAGGCCTTGGCCTTGCCCTTTTCGGCCTTTGGGGGCTTCAGGCCCTTCGGGGTCTGAGGTTGTACCGGACCCCCATATAAAAAGCTTTTGACAAGCCGAATTTTGTCATCGAAATCGTTCACTGCGTCATGCTGACCTCGGTTGAGACTGGTGGTTCTCATACTCTCGAGATCTAGGAGATGTATCCTCAGGTCGGGTTTGAGCAATGGTAGACTTCTCTCTTCAAGGCTGCGTTTGTGTGCCTTCCCACCTAGCCTTGCAACTTTGGCCTCCTGTATAATCAACCCAAGGGTCGCAACACTTGCTAGTTGACGAGCCTCCTTCGATGCACCCGGAAGTTTGGCTTGAGTCCTGTAGTGCGCCACCTCAATGTTGGCCTTGGCGAGATTCTCTTCAAGCACATGTAATGGTGGTGTCCTCACTTCAAGGCTTCGTTTGTGTGGCTGTTTTCGTAGCTTTTTAAGCATTCCCTCTTGTGTCTTGATGTCGGCGCTCAAGGTTTTTAAAGTCGAATGTTCTGAGGACGATAGTATCTTCTTGTTTGTGAGCCCACTCTGTAATTGCGACGCCCGGAGCTTGTTATTAGCGAGGTTGTGCTCAATAATACCTATCTCAAACTTGTTCAAGGTGACACTCATGCGATCGAGTGCCGCATTGAGACGCTCCTTTGCTGCCTTCACTTCCGCTGGGGTTGGTCCCCTCGCCTCAAGGCCCCGTTTGTGTGGTGGTGACCAGGATATCTTTGCAAGCTTCGCCTCCTGATTTGCGAGCTCCTTCTCAAATCCCCTTAGCTGGGCCCTCGCAGGATTACGGTCTATACCAAATTTTGGCGGGGGGGAAAGCTGTGCTTGTGCCAAGTAGGCCTTGGAAGATGCGATATTCTCCTTGAGTAGAGCTATTTCAATCTTGAGTGATGCTTGTTGAACAGATTTAAGTGGTACCATAAGTGGACCCAGGACATTCGGTGATGGTCCCCGCGCTTCAAGGTCTCGTTTTTGTAGTGGTAAGACTGGTGGTTTTTTACTTACTGGTTGCAAGGCCACGTTTTTGCCTGCTTTGGTCTGTAGGTTGAGTAGGCTTTTGTGCAACTTCTGTAAAGACGTATCTAGAGATTTGAGGGGGGCAACAAGAGCAGGCACCCGATTCCTATTCGCTGCCAGTTTGTTCGAAGACGCTTGCAGAGATTTGATTGCTGTAGCAAGGCGAGCCGCCTGATCAGGTGATAGTACTGATGCCCTGGCTTCGAGGTCTCGTTTGTGTGGTGGTGATGGCCCCTTTGCGCGTAGCCCTGCGATCGCCTTCTCCACCGTCTCTACTTGCCTGTTTGTGAACGTGAGAAGTAGTTGTTCGTAAAACGACGGTTCAACTTTTCCCTGTAATTGAGTCGCCTTGATTTTGAGCTGTGCCATTTGGTTCTCCAAGAGACCGAGGGAGGTCACATGAGCGGACGCTTTTCCAAGATTGAAGTCTTCTTTAAGGCGAGCGAGATACTCAGCGGTCCCTGGTGATGGTAGGCCCCGAGCTTCAATGTCTTGTTTGTGCGATGATAACCCCTTTGCTCGGAAATTTTCAAGCGCCTTCTCTGCTGTCACTACTTTCTGGTTCCAGTAATTCAGACGTTGACGTTCTATCCACGAAGGTGCAGCTTTATTCTGTAGCTTCGCCGCCTGCATCTTAAGCCTTCTAACCTCCCCCTCTAAGAGATCTAGAGAGGCCATATAAGGGGTTTTGGTTCCAAAATAAAGCTTCTCTCCAAGACGCTCACTACTCGCAGCAGCCCCTGGTACTGGTGCTCCCCTAGCTTCAAGGTCTCGTTTGTGCGATGATGATGGCCCCTCTGGTGATGATGACTCCTTTGCTCGTAGCCTTTTAAGCACGTTCTCCACTGACACTATTTGCGCATTCTTAAACCTTAGACGAAGACCATCTAACCATGAAGGTTCAGGTTTGTTCTGTAGGTTCGCCGCCTGGATCTTCAGCCTTGCAATCTCCTCTTCCAAGAGCTCAAGAGCGGTCACATGAGCGATTTTGGTTCCAGCATAAAACTCCTCCTTAAGACGAGCCCTATTCGCAGCAGTCCCTGGTACTGGTAATGGTGGTCCCCTAGCTTCAAGGTATCGTTTGTGTGGTGATGATGGCCCTGACTGCTCCGTGGCCCTGGCCTTTGCGAGTCCCTTCTCTGCCGTATGTATCCGAATGTTTGTAATCTTTAAAGCTTTACGGTCACTAACCGAAGTTGCGCCTTCACTTTGTAGTCGTGCTGCCTTGGCCTTGAGGCTTCCAATCTCCTTCTCAAAGTGAGAGACAGAAAGCTTACTGGCGGAGTAAGTTCCAAAATACAATTGATCTTTGAGACGAGCGGCGGCCTCAGCCATTCCTGCTGGCGGTTGCCTGGCTTCAAGGTCTGGTTTGTGTGGTTGTGGCGATGACGGCCAATACTTTTCATAACTCGCCTTCTCATTTTTGAGTTTCTCCTCAATCGCCGTTATCTCCAGCTTCCTAGGATTTTTAACCCGACGATTCCAAGAGATTGATTTGAATGACATGGATTTGCCTTTGCTTTCCTTTAGCGACTCCTTGAGCTTGAGCTTCGCGAGCTTCTCCTCAAGCACAACTATATGGAGTTTGGCAAGCTCTTTACGCTGAGCATTGTAAAAGTTTTTGAGAGCAAGTATGGGTGCCTCCAATGGTGCTGCCCGAGCTTCTAGGTCTCGTGTTTTTGGTGCCCCCGCCTTCAGCGATTTATGAATCGCTATTAGGTGTTCGGCATGTTTGATTTCACGAGCCCAATATGTCGGTGGCGGCCATGAACGTTCCTGTTCACTCCGGATTTTCGCCTGCTTGAGTTTTGCAAGAGCTGCCTCAAAGGATATAACGACTGGTGCTGCCCGGTCTTCAAGCTCTCGTTTGGTTTTGGGGGTCTTCGCACCCTCCACGATCTGCAAAATTCTGTTGACCGCGTTCCATTGGCTATCCCAATATGAAGGTGGCAATTTGGCGTTGGCACCTTCCTTCTCACTCTCTTCTTTCAAGCGTTTGATATCAGCGAGTACCGCCTTAAGCTCCGTCACAGTTCGAGATGTCCAAACTTGAAGGTCTCGTTTGGTTTTGAGCCCCCTCGTAATCTCCAAGAGTTTCGAGACCCTTGCGATTTCACCATCCCAATACTCCGGTGGTGCGAACCCATTTGCTTGTGCTTGTGGGCCTTGACTAATCGTCTTCATTTCCTGGAGCTCTGCAAGCTTCGCCTGGGACCCAACCGTATCCACAGGAAGTGTTCGCACTTCCAGTACTGCAGCTTGGGGTCTAGTCGAAAGTTAGTTGACAATATGTGGGTTTGGAAAAGAAGAGGAAACCCACCGAACAGGAATAGCGGTTGTGGAAAGAAAGGCATTGAGGAGGAGAAGACCAGTTGAAACATTGATGAAATGCATGTTTGCAGATGCAAACAATACTGTAGAAAGATGCGAAACGAAAATTGTTGGAAGTAAACGATTACATAGGATATAAAATATAATGAGTGAATGAATAGTTAGAAGAATGAATTAAAAGGAATGAAAGAAAGGTGCAAAAGGCATCCAAAGGCGACTGCGAAGAAATGTTGTGCTAGAATCTCTGGCACCTATATATTGATTCAACATTGGGCAGATGGGTGTTCTTCTGTGGTCCGTGTCTAAAAATAGAAGTTTTTGATCTTGAACAAAGAGAGTATGGAAGGCCGATCAGGCATTCCTATGGAAACGAAAAATCGATCCGTAAGAGAGTTCACAATCGCGATGTTAAGTGGTTCTTAAGTGGACCTTTGCAGGGTATTTTCAAGTGTCAGCCTTGGCAATGGGTTTTTGGTATAAATTTATACTTCATATCTAGCGCCAAGGCCACCATTGATCTTGTCCACCGGGAGGCACGATTGCCATGAATACACACTGGTACCGGCATACGCATACAATTTGCCATTCAAAGCAGACTTCGGAGTTATGCGTTGACTATGCCATTTTCACCAACTTTAATGAATCTAATGAACCCCACTTGGCCTTTGGGTAAAAAGAACATCAGAAGCGATTCCCAAGGTAGCCCGGCCATGTCCGGATCACGTGCTCAGATGGTTCGCAACTGTAAATATAGCTCCAGGACTTCCAAAAGAAAAACCCCGGAAAAGAAAAAAAGAAGAAGAAAAAAGTGGAATCAGCATTTCGTCTTCCTTTGCCCCAGTCGCTATTTTGTAATTACAGAAAAACCTGGCTATAAGGATACTGGATATAAGGATAACCTCGTTTATATCCTTAAATTTTGGGTCCCGATTTCTTTTGGTGTATATACTAAGACCCTCGCTATAAGGATAACCTCGGTTATATCCTTGCGAAACTTGGCGCCCGGAATATCCTTATATCCAGGTTTTTCTGTACGAAGTACTCGGGAAGTAGTGCCGGAACGCTCCAACAGGTGGGTACAAGGGCCACTATTGACTTGCCAACCCTTGAAAAGGGCCTTCAAACCGCAGAGGGTGTTTATGAGGCAACTACTCATTCTTCTCACTTCATGCTTCTCGCAGGAACATCTTCTTCCAGCAGTACCCTTACACTAAGCGCGATTCGTGCCTATTCTATCAAATCGGATGGCTTCATCCTCCACCTTACCGAAATTGGTCGCTACCCACAGATCCAAATTTCATGAGAACAGAACCCCGTTCCGAGACTGGGGTCAATATTCAGCAGAGGAAAGAACGCATCGGAAATCAAAAGCGCAATGTTAGGCTTAACTAAGCAGCTCGCCAGGTCGCACTTCCTCAAGATCCTTGCTGTAGGCTCAGAAGCTTGATATACTTAAACAATCGAATACGTAGGGATGATAACATCAACTAACTGGACCCCATGAGGTCTCGAGAAAAGAAATGAAGGTGATCACTATCTGGATCCCTCTCATGCTTACTTTCCACAAGCTGGATATTGACGTGAGGTACTTGTAGGCTGTCCGCGATTCAGCATTAGGAGAAACAACGAACGTTACAACCTCTGCATAACAAGAGTACACTTTAAGGCTGTAGCTTTTAGTTGTAGCTTGGGGTGAAACTGGGATTCGTAATCATATGGCTAGATGTCTTCGTCATTTTCATTCCTGATCTTCAAATCCGTCCTGCTTATCACATGAGCATGACTCCATTCCCCGCCCAAACGAGCACCGGCAGCATCTCTACATTTCTCAAGCTAACCATATTTAATTGTGTTTCTTTGATATAACTGAAGTTCTCACAACTAATTATTTTGGTGTTCTTTCTGCCTGATTGAGAATTTTCGCTTCGAGTGAGGGCCGAAAATTCTTAATAAAACAACGATGTCTTTGAGATTTGGGACTCCAACTTGAAGTGCAGAGGTTTATATTGTCCCAAGCTGTGAGACTGAATTTTGCAACGGATCGCTTTAACACGTTTCTTTTTTCCTTCTTAAGGTTATCTTACATCTCAAGCTTCCGACTCCCTCCTGCTTCTAACCTAAACGCCCAAGAATTCAAATCAGCTCACCATTTTGTTAGGCTGCTTAAGCTTATTAGTATTCAATCCTCGAGGTTTTTTTCTTATATCTGACAAGAGCATGTTGGAGATGGCAAACCTGGAGGTTCGTCCCAGGGTAGGCTTGCCGCAAGTTTCATTTTCTTGACAGTGAAAAGCTTATTATTCCCATTAGCTACGGAACGCCGAACGGACACTTCTATTAAAGTGAAAAAGTGAAAAAGTGAAATTCCGACTTTTTAACTTTAACTATAAGTTAGTAATAAACCGGGAAACTAATAATCTAGTATTTTTTTAAAGGTAGAATTAAGTATAAGTTATATGAATTAATTAATAAATAAACCCTTATCTCCTAAACTATTACTATCTCTCCTATTTAACTCTATATAATCTACTTCTACTTCCTCCTCTTTACCAACACACTCCCTTATAGGTATATGTCACGAACCACGTGGTAGAGGGATGGCCCTTCGTCATGTGATGAGTTAGTCCAGACGGAGCTCTGACAGGACAGACACATCCGGGTAGTTATAGCAAATAGGGATGCTTAGACTAGCTAAGCGATCCAGGGATTTCATTGTATGTAGTCACGTGGGGGATCTTGGGATCTTGAGGATCCTAAGATCTAGACAAGGGATCTGGGGGATCCCCAGATCTATGAGCAGGAAGGTTCTATATAAGACTGGCACGTCTGCCATTAGATAGGGGCTTCGTGCTCAACTTAGTTTAGCAATCTAGTTATTAAGTTATTACTTCTTTGTTAACAAGTGACGAGTTTACCTCCGAGTAAACAACCCGGCGCATCTGTACTTCTTACCCGCATACCAACCGTCGAAACGATTACCTTTGTCAGATAGTTTGAGTTTCGTCACAGTATTGTAACGAATACTCAAACTGGCTAACTAAACTTGGCTGGGTGTTCGCTGGTTGGTATGCTATGATAAGAAGAAGACTATCGGGTTGTTCACTTGGAAGTGAACTCGTTACTTGTATCAAAGATGTCAAACTAATATGATAAGATTGATAACTAAGTTGAGCACGAAGCTCCTATCTAATGGCAGACGTGCCAGTCTTATATAGAACCTTCGTGTTCCGCCGTCGCCTACATCGCCTGTCGATACTGGCGATGCAAATGGTCACGTGATTACAATGTAATGAAATCCCTGGATCGCTTAGCTAGTCTAAGCATCCCTATTTGCTGTAAGAGATATGATAGTGCTCGACCTGTCAGGACGCCGCCTGGTCTTCACTTGTCACATGCTTACGTGATTCGTGACAAGTATATCGCATAGATGTCAATTTTAACAAATAGCTTCGTCTAATTTAGTATCGTTACAAAGGTATATAGCTAGACCTTCTCCTATATGAATTTAAGTACGCTATTTAGTCTAAGCTAAAATACTATAGTAGTTCTTTTCTATAAGTTTTTATTCTAATTATAATTAACTTATATAAGTAGAGTATTCCTAGAAACTACTACAATATATATATTATACCTTGAATTATAGTCTATATAAAGTAGCTACTCTCTTATTCTCTTTATAGTCGTATGTAGTATTAAAATATTCTATAAGTTATAATACTAAACTATCTTACTCTTATATTATATAAATTATAAAAGATTAAACTTATAAAAGTAATCGCTTATTATAATCTTTATTAGAGGTATATTTTATTCCTACTTAAAGAACTAGATTTAACGTCTAACTTTAGTCTTATTAATTAAGGTATTAGAATTAAATTAACTTCTACTTCTAATTGTGACGGAGCTGGATTTTATTTGACAGGATTTCATTCGCTTGGCCAAGCACGTGACGAGACTTGGCATTGGAACAACTTAAATAACTTCGCTCCTTTCAGACTCTCTTCTCTCTTTAGTTTGATTTCTTCGTACCTACGGTTTTAGTTCTAGCAATTGATTCAAAAGCTGTATATACTTTATCCTTTGTTGGCATCCGTGACACTAATCTTTAAATAATACTTTATCTTATACTTTTACTCTTATTCATAAACCTACTCTATCTTTAATAAATCTATAAATTTATAGTATTCTATAATACTTAAATTTAAAGAACTAGATAATACTAAGAACAAGGATCGAGTAGTACTAGTTCCTACTATACTCGTAGATTAAATAGATAATAAGATTAAGGGAGTTATTAAGGGAGATAGGGAGATAATTAATTATAATAGAATAACTAAGTCTAGAAGAACCTATTTATAAGAAAAGTACTAGTAATACGACTTAGTTTAAAGCTATAATAATTTATATATAGAATAGTAGAATAGTAGTATATTAATAAAACTATATAAATATATAATATATATTCTAAATAACAAGTCAGGAATACTAGCGCATTCCTCCTATATAAATTAACTAATTAGTTTATTCTAAAGTAATATAACTTTATCTTTATTTTATATACTATACCTACTTTAGTAATAGCGCCGAAATATCCCTAGATATCCTTTAGTAATAATACTAAATTATCCCTAGGTAGTCTTTAATAAAAATACTAAATTATCCCTAGGTAGCCTTTAATAATACTACTAAATTATCCCTAGGTAGCCTTTAATTGTGACGACACGCACAGCTGATGGACCGCGCAAGAGCACGACTACGTCAGGTATCACGAGTGGTGAGATTGACACTGTGGAACTGTCTATTCGAGGATTCTAAGCTAAGGAGAGAAGAGAAGAGAGCAGAGCTCGGGAGCCAGAGGTTCTTATATACAGGAGGTTGTGCCAAGCTATGGCTAACTGAGCCGGGCTCAGGAAGCACGGTATCCGCTGGGTTCCAGCCAGGGGCTGGTCTGAGGTGTAGTGGCGGTTAGAACCGTCACATTAATAATAGGTAGTAGAATTAATAGTAGTAGAATTAAAGGTAGTAGAATTAATAGTAGTAGAATTAAAGGTAGTATAATTAATAGTAGTAGAATTAGTAGAATTATTAGTAGAATTTAGCTTAGATTAACGAGTATACTTTTTAGAAAAAATACTAGATTTTTACTTCATAACTTTAGTACTATAATTAAACTTATAAAGTTACTTTTTCACTTTCTTACTTTAATAGATGTGTCCGTTCGGCGTTCCGTAATTAGCCTGTTCCTTGAGCATACTCCTGCGACAGTGTTCAAAAGCCTTCGGACTAGGACGTCGTCTGAAAGTAATCTATAATACAAGATACTGTAACGAATACTCAAACTGGCTAACTAAACTTGGCTGGGTGTTCGCTGGTTGGTATGCTATGATAAGAAGAAGACTATCGGGTTGTTCACTTGGAAGTGAACTCGTTACTTGTATCAAAGATGTCAAACTGATATGATAAGATTGCTAACTAAGTTGAGCACGAAGCTCCTATCTAATGGCAGACGTGCCAGTCTTATATAGAACCTTCATCCTCAAGTACTATGATCTGGGTAGCCAACTCGCCTGTCGAGCTGGCGGTCCGTTTCGCTAGGTCGCCGAGCGATCCAGCGATCCAACTTAATCATGTGACCCTAACCAATGGAAATCCCTGGATCGCTTAGCTACCCTAAGCGATCCCTATTTGCTATAAGAAACCTGGGTATGCCTGTCGAGGGTTGCGCCTCTTATTATGACAAGTATCACGTGAGCACGTGATTCGTGACAGATACCTAAAGTGAACCACACTAAAACTAATTCTCGACTACTTCGACACTTCTACTACAGTACTATAATAATAATAACACTTATCAACTATTTGAATAGAGTACTTTATACGTCTTAATTATTAGAGTAAAACGCGCTTACTAGCTTTATTTTAATTAAATTATATAAAATATAGGGCCTACATCTGTTAGGTCTTAGCGCTACTACTAAATATTTTAGCGGGCTCTACTTTTCTTAGTATAGCTTAACTAAGGACTATATAGAAAATCTGATAAGTGTAATTACTTTGAAATAGTCTAATTAGTCTATCTAATTATTGAATATTAGGGCTTATCTAATAAAACAAACGTTTCTAATACTATCGATTTTACTATAAAACTTTTAATATTCTTGCGAGGGTTGTCCGAGGGCAGCTATATGAGGGTTATCCGATGGCTGTCCGAGGTGTGGAAAAAGTCGGATTTATTCGAAGGAATTAATTAATATCTTATTACAACTTTACTTTAAGATTATTTTAAATAGACCAAAGGATGCGTTATAATTAGCCGGATATAATATATTTACTAGCCTTAATTAATAAAAATAATAGAAAATGCGGGGCCTACATTAGTAGAGTCTTAGCGTTGTGCCAAATATTTTCCCCGCTTCTTTTAGCCCCTTGTAAAAACACTTAACTAGGGCTAATATAAAGGTTTTAGTAAGTACATTCTTATTCTTTTAGTCTAATTACTCTATTCCGCTATTTCAAATATAGTTTATATCGCAAATCTAAAAAGTTCTCTAATAAAGGTCGAAATATCGGTTTTGGTGTGGTTCACTTTGGGTGTCTTGTATTATATGTCAGGCATAAATCCTCTCTATTCAGGGTTTCCATTTGGTCTTCTTCGTACTAGAACATATTGAAGCAGAAGCAAAACGATGCGTGATTTTATCTTCTAATTAAGCTTGAGTAGAATTCTTCGAGCTAATTCAATAGCTAATGGTCCCCCTCTAATATTGACCTTAAGCATGAACAAAGTTGGGACTCTTTTACAAAGACCACCGTAAAATTAATAGACAGAGAGAATTATCGAAAATTTATGTTGCAACAATATAATGTCGTCTAAACAAGTGTGAAAATGAAGTTACAATCACCCCTGTGTTTAGAAACCCCTAGGTTTGAATAATAAGTTGAGATTCAATGAGTCGAATCTCGAAACTTGCCACCGGCCTTTGCTCTTGGTTACGACGTAGGGTTCCTGGATTGGTTGTACCTCGTCACACGCGAAATAAATGAAAGTTCTTCAGGGTCTTTTAACCTTTTACTCGCCTTGGCCACCCTAGAAAACTTACATTTATTTCGTTTCTAGGACGAAATCTGAAGTAAATTTATGAGAGCAATGCTTATCAGTAAACTTTAAGCGTGGTGCCAATTTGCGGCCCACTGAATGAATGCTATTCAAAGGATGGTTACAAAATTGAGAGTAAGAGCCTTACTCAGGTTCGTGCCACGCCAATTGACTTTCAAAGTTGTGCCAAGCGAAGAATAGTTCTCGGACTTCAGATAACGTTTATCCTTAAATACTGTAGTGCCAAGCCAAGGGAACCTACGCAACACTGTCTAGGTGAACCTGCCACCTCATTCATGTCATTTTCGCTAAGAGGGTGAAAGGCGTAATGAAAGGATATGATGCGACTCAAGGTACCTTAGAATGGAGGATTTGTAGTAAGAAGTTCTGAATAGAGATACGCTGAAGGATTCGAAAAAGTAATTTTATCGAGAGTGTGAAGCTTGTAGAATACAAGTAAAAGAACGATAACTTTTTATAGGCCCGATGCGCCTGTCCCTCAATAAATCCGCTAAAAGCGCCGACACAACGTTGGAAAGGTTCAAGTGCGCTACGTCGTACCAAAGTGTCAAAAATGAGAGTTATCGATAAGGGCGACGAATAACAACAGCCTCTGGATCATTCGCTGAACGAAGTACAGCGCTTCTTAAGGTACCATGTTCCTCCCATTGGCATATCCCTTTCCTAATCAGCCTGTAGATACTCGTTAGTAAATTTGACTGTGTATGAATTCACGTAGCTGTAGTTTACAACCATTTTCGCAACACTTGTCTTATTATTGCCAGCACCAAGGTATACCATTTTGCAGATTACCCAGGTACGTAGTTGTATTTTTGGGAAATTTACCAATCTTGTCTACCTATCTCGCATTATTCTCAATCGTTAGGGGATGCCCGCTTAACACCTGGATTAGCCTTGTTGTTTTTGATGTCCGCCGGCTTCAAGCCATACTCCATAGAACGCCGAAGTATACGACGTAACTCATCAAAGTTAAATAATTAACAAGCTACAAGACCGAGGATGAGACTGAAAGTTTAATGCAGGTGACGTTTATGCTAGCTTACGGTTAAGTATAAGTAAATACTGGTACACCTCTGCTACCTACGAAACATTCCGTACATTTCCTCAACTTCTGAAATTTATTTTTGTGTCAAAAACGAATTCACATCATGCAGCTTTCCGCTGTTCTCATGACTCTCACATTTGCTGTGTCAGCATCAGCATTAGAAAATGGGCCTGGAGTATTCTGCACACCACAACCACCGGCGCTTCCAGAAGGGAAAGTTTGCACCCAAGGAATAGCACGCTGCGTAGGTCTTCTGCCTTGGGCAGGATTGCCTCCCTCCATGCTTCCCTTGTCTCAAGATACTGTTGTGCACTATAAATCTGACAAACATATAGTGTCAAAAATCCCACACCCCCAAATTCGCTGCGGCCGCAAGCTGTCGTCCTTTTTATAGTGGGGCGTATAAGTGCAACAGTGATCAAGGTGTAAGTATAATGCTTTGTTCAGTCCAAAGAAACCATTCTTTTTGCCAATAATGCTGGGCTAATTGTTCAATGAATCAAGATTATCTATTGTTGTTGATAAGCTAGCTTGCGCAGCTAGGGACATCAGACACATCAGTCTGCTAGGGAACCGTTCATTACATATATCGCTTGTGTATATTTCGGTGAACAAGAAGCTCTAGAACACATCCAAATACATATGTGAACTATCTTGTTCGCTATTCTCAATTGTCTTCATGCGGTAGCCCTTGAGATTTCAAAGCCTTAACTCTATTAGAAGCGCTACAAGGAGTCCGATTGAGCAAGAGTCATTGAAGCGAGAAACAGGGCAAGCAGAACAAGTCCACGATCCCTCAAGGACCGCCATAAAGAAGTTTAATGGTCTGACCTGAACTTGCGACCCCCAGTAAATCGATTTATGCGTGATTGAACATTTACACAGTCTCATAGTACAGTCCTACTGTATTTATCCCTTTTCAACTGGAGAAAAGCCTAGAAAATAGACTTCTCCTTTGCTTTCAGCAATTCTATGTTTATTGGCACTGAGCCTGTTGGTAGCAAACAATGGTTGACGTGAAAACTCGGGTCAAATACGAAGTCTGTCGAAAACCAGGAAAAAGCTGTAGACTGTGAGTTAAAATCAGGTAGGAAGTATTGCGATACTGTAGGCCCTGAAAGATAGGTGCCCAGTCTTTGCATTTCGCTATAGACTTGCTTTTTAGACAGCAGACGCTTGATACGATACTAGTTCAAGCTCGGGCAATTTTCAGGGACGGAAATACAGTAGTAGAACAAATAGCAAATGCGTAACAGTTGCCCCTTTAACTACAAAATGTGGAAATTATTTTGCGTGCTTCTAGGTTATTTCAAAACTGTACAAAACAGCTTCAAACGATTGGAAGATTTACCCAAAATTCTCCTTGTTTAACGTTATAAATCTCTATTGTTATCCTGGGCCGGAGCAACAGGGTTGATTCTTTTCGGGACCTTCGACACAATTACTTCAAAAGGTGCATGCAGAGCGATAACCAGATTTCCAATACCGTTACAGTAGGATGCGGATGTGGCTTTACCACAATAAATCTGCCCTTTTTTCCCGGCGGATAAAATTAATTGAAATCTGTTATGAACTCCTTACACCTTTTACAGTACTATCACTAATCCAATCTGATTCCAAAACGAGATGTCGGTTACTTTTGATTAGTTTGCAGTAGAGGGTAAAATGTGGGCTGATTAATAACAAGTTGGTGTAACGCCGAACCCCTCTTTGTTTCCATACTGTGGTCTTTTACAGGCTACGCCTCGCAACAAGTATTATTGTTTATTAATCAGCTATCGGTATTGCAATAGACAGAAAGGGACCGAGGGTCGCAAGACAACATAAATAAAATCCTCATCACGAAATGGAAGAATATCCCCCCAGCCCGACAACCTTCAACCTCACTCGCCATTTCCCCACCTCTTAAATATTACTAAAAAACTCACAAAGATGTACTCAGTTCTCATTCTCGGGCGCAACCGGCACGATTGGCAGCAAAATTTCTCATCAACTTTCCCTCCAAAAATCCAAGTTTAAACGAGCGGCATTCCTCACTCCCCTCTCTGACGCAGGACCAAAAAAAGAAGATCGGTATGCAAAAGTAGGATTGGAACGCGTGGTTGGAAGTCTATCGGATTCTGCCTCTTATACGGGATTCGATATCGTGATTTCGGCAGTGGGAGATGATTTGTGTGCTCAGCAACATGAATTCATCGATGCGGCTTTTAAGGGTGGAGTGAAGCATTTCGTACCAGGGGAATGTAGGTACTCGCTGCATGGTTGCCCTGAGCAAGAAAGAAGACTGATTACCTGCCACAGATGGTTCGGATATGGAACACCCTAAGTGTCGTGATGAGGCTTATTTCAAAGATAAAGTTGCTACGAGGCGACATCTTGAGAAGAGTATCCAAGAAGATCCTGAGTTGGGATATACATATGTCATGGTTCGTAAATTAATCCGAGTAATCGTGTTTTTTGAACTAACGGATCGAAGGTTGGATTGTTTAGCGAGTATTTTTTCGAATACAATATTTTGGGTCTATCAGAAGACAAGAAATCCGCGACATTTATTGGCGATCCCGAAGCGAGATTGACTACTACACTGAGTACGGAGTATGTCTTCTTGGTTTCCCAATTGCTCTCTCAGCACTAAAATCACACCTCATAGTGTAGCAAAATTCATCATCGCTTCTCTTATCCCCTCCCATCTCCCTACCCTCGCCGGCGCTCGCGAACTCAAGGTTGAAGGGTCGACCCTCGCTATCCGTGAGCTTTTCCACGAAGTTGAGAAGTATACAGGGCCACTTGATATAAAATACATCAACATCGAGGAATCCTTTGCTATTGTTTCATTTAGGTAATAATTACCTTACTTACTAATAGACTTTAGGTTTAAACCTTAGTCTGTTCTCGCTTATTCTAGAACGTTCGATCACGTGAACCGAAACATTCTAGTATCCCTTTCTATTTATAAGCACTTCTATTCTATTTATAATCTATAGAACCTCCTAGNAATAGACTTTAGGTTTAAACCTTAGTCTGTTCTCGCTTATTCTAGAACGTTCGATCACGTGAACCGAAACATTCTAGTATCCCTTTCTATTTATAAGCACTTCTATTCTATTTATAATCTATAGAACCTCCTAGAATCTATCTAAGGAGTATATATAGACCTTTACTGTCCTTATAGTTAGAAAAATCAAGTCATTTTCACAAGTCAAATTCTTACTCTTTTGATTCCCGATGTACCTAACAGTCATCTGACCATCCTACTTCCACTGTCTTATATACACTCTGTATATAACCGATACCTCTTACAGCTATTGCCGAAGAGCTGGAGAAGTTGGGCAATGTGTTCCCGGCGAAGTTTGTAAGTGCGCAGAGGGCTTTGGGATTTGGCGGAAGTGAGAATGTGGGGGTTGTTAACCATGATTATCCTGAGATTACGGCTATGAAGTGGGCTGAGACTGTAAAGAGATATTTGGGGGATTAGAGGAAGACGGCTAGAAGTAGACTAGACTTCGGTGAGTATTTGTTCTTACGGTCGAAGAGGTTTTTCTTTCGCCTTTGTGGTATAATCGTCATCATAGTTCCGGAATATTAGACCAGGGGAGCTTATTATTCTAACTCTTAGCTGATAGAATTTAATAACATATCTGTAGAACTCTGTGAGATTACTTAAGACGTGTTAGAAAATATAAACTATAGAGGAACCAGAACGGCTATTTACTACCATTTTCAATGTCTACTACAAGAGAGGTCCCAAGGTTTGTGTTTAATGCACCTTTTTATTTACTGTGATGCTGCAGCTGGTGTGGCCAAGCTTAAAAACTTTACTGTCGTGGAACAACAGCTGCACAACCTTTATATAAACCATCTCTGGAGAAAGTAGTTCCAGATTCAACACTGCGGGACCAGGGCTTCTCTTCTCAAGTGTAGAAGTGTTCAAACGTGTATTCATTCTTTCATATGGTCGATCACTCTGTTCTGGAGGTCATGCTTCAGTTTTCATCTACGTATGATATGGTCTGGTTAGCGTGTTCATGAGTGGAGCAAGAACAGACGCCTCAGATGCAATTCCTGAAATTGAAAGGAACGGGATTGTGGATTCCGGGTCAATTCAGAGTGGTAAACGACAAAGGACTGTAGATAGCTTCCGGCCTGACAATACTCCTCTGAGGAACCTGACGTACCAAGAAGAGCATATTGGATTAGCCAATAAAAATAGCCCTCCGATTTTCTCGAAGAAGCAACGACTAGTGGGAACTGAGAAGAAGTCCAAGAGAGCATCAACAACCAGGAACTTCTGCCATTGATCTGGGGTTTTCTTGTTTCTTTTCTTTCCGAAAAGTACTACTGTCTGTGAGATAGTGACAATAATAGGAGCCCAATATCTTAAACTGTCTATATGACCATTTCAAATATAGAGGTCTTGCTAGTATACTCGAATAGGGGACTCTGAAGGTGGATGGATGAATCTAATAGAAAGTTCTCACCTAAAAGGTCGAATTTCCTCATGGTGACCGGGCGCTCTATTCATTCGAGTTCGTAGTCAGAGATGTGATTCTTTCTTCACGAACGATGATAAGTAATCAGTAAGCTTCTTACAGTCGAAAAGTGTTTAATTAACCCTATGGCTATTTGAACAATCCTTTAATATCACTTGTTTCAGACACACCGGTCTCTTGCCACTGGTTGAAGTCGTACCCAGAACTTCGGCTTGTCCCACATAGCGTTTATCTTAAAATCCCTCTCAAACACAATTTCCTGATTGGGCAGCTTCGCAATGTCAAAACCCCAAAGCAATTTGCCAATAAATAATCTGGTTTCATTCCACGCTGGAGAGGTCCCAGGACATGCTCTTGGGCCCTGACTAAAGGGAAAGAAACTCTCTCTCGCATCGTTTTTGAACTTTGAATCCCAGTGCGGATGTCCGACTGGGAGCCACCGCTTTGGCTTGTAGCTTCGAGGTTCTTGGAAGTAGCGTGGGCTACGTGTGAATGCGAAATGGCTGTATTGTACATAAACCTATTTGGAAAATGTTAGTTATAAAGACATTTTGTAAAATCTTGTTGGGATCTGACCCCTTTTTCTACATAAATTCTGTTCACATGTGCACCCGGGCTGATACGGGGCAGACCGGTTCCTCCGATAACGGTCATACGCAAAAGTCTCCATCAAGGAAGCGTTGAGGTACTCGAGTGGGGCTAAAGCCTCTGGTGTGATACCCTCATATCTAGTAAATTCCATTCTGATCTCATCAACGAGCCGTTTGTATGTCTCCGGTGCCAACAAAGAGAACATAATGGTGCATAAGACCTGACTCGAAATCGGTTCATAGCCCGCTACTATCATTTGCACAGCAAGGACTTCCAAATGCTCTTGCTCCCTTTTGCTTGGGGTTGAATCAGGATCCATATCACCCAGAGTTTGATCAAAGTGATCTAAGTGTACAGTCTTGCCCTGGCGTTTGATTCGGTTTTTGACTTCCATGGTCGTGATTTTTCTGCCTTTTAACTCGCTCATTACAGCGGAGGGCGGAGCAAAGAGAAACTGAATCGGACTCAAGAGAGGAAACTTTCGGCAGACTTGGTGAATCTTCAAAAAGAAATTCATTCCCCATAGGACTTCTAGAAATGGGGAGCTTTTTCCTGTGGAGCATGAGCAATGCAAATACTTTGGAAGAACGGCATATGAATTCTCACTTTGATTTAATTGATGCATGTGTCGACTAAAGGCTAGCTCTGCTGATATATGAAGAGCGAGCCAATTTGTCCACTGGAAGGTGAAATATGAGTACAAGTCAAAAGAATTACGAATTTCAAAACTCACTTCACGTAGTTCAACCCCTCCGTCTGAACTCCCAACCTCCTTGACAATTTGCACAAAATGATCGATATGCTTGTGCATCGTTGGATCTTTAGCCCTGACAGACTTCATGTTAAATGCGGGTGATATTTTCTTGACCATATTACGATGCTTGACGGGATCAGTCTCCCAAGCAATGCCCTGATCCCCTTGCCCAATTTTGATGAAGTTAGTTTTCGTGAAATGCTCCAGGTGCTTAGTATGTGATCCATAGATGTCTGCATCTTTTGTTAGATAGTGAAGGATCAAATTTCTTCTTCGGAGGGTTTTGGTACCCGAAGCAGCGCGGGGATCAATGAATACAATCTCGTTTGGAGCGATACGAACGACATCACCTATTCATTTTCAGTGAAACAGATTGATTACATATTACTGCTTGAAAGCGATCTTACCATACTGCTCAAGTGCCTTTTCGACGGCCATGGGATATTTTCCGGTAATCCTAAATTCGTGAGGAAACGAGTATGTGGCAATCAAAAGAAGGAGCCTACCAATGATACGCGTACCATACATTCGAAACAGCTGCAAGTTTTGGACCAGGAAGTTGGGAGACGGGATGGAAGTAAAGATGATAAACACAACGGCTGGAGACATAGATAATAGTCTATCACATTCTTAGTTGAGCCAAACATGGATGGGATACAGTTGAAATGCTCGGAAAAGGCTGGACTGACACTCGCTAGAGCCAAGCCGATCCAGTGGGTCGTCAGAATGCCCATCAGCAAGGAGAGGAGATTATCCGCCATTTCTTTTGTGCTAGCATCGACTAGGAACAAACCAAGAAATAATTAGTGATAAGAAGGCGAAATCTCAATGTTCGATTTGAGACTTTCATTGTGGAGATAATGGGAGAAAAGCAGAATGATGTAGGATTGAGATTTACCAACTGAAACCAACAAAGTACCAACAATTACACAACCCAAGACCGTGTGATGTCAGTGAAGGCCCCGTGATCAACAACCCACAAAAGAAACGCGAAAGTCAGATCTCTAGAAATGCCCCATTGAATACTTTCAAGAAAATCTAACTTATTATCTCGGCATGAAAATGCTTGTGGTTATTAGCGTATTGGGAGAGCAAGAGAAACTATGTAAACAGTATTTCTATCTTACCGAAATGAATAGGAAGTATCTTTGCAATATTAAAGTACCATATACGTTCGTAAGTCATCCCTTGTTTATTAATTACATACTAGATGAGCTTATAATTTCCACTGGTCCGGTAGGTCAGACCCTGCGTGGCTTGGCTATATTCAATTTGGCAGCGATGTCAGACGTTGTTTCCTCACGCTCCTACGCAGTATTGTACAAAATGTTCGGATTCCTAGCCAAGCAGAACATAGCACGGATGTTGGGCTAGGATGGTGTTGTCCTTCGCTGGGCATGTATTGTCGATGGTGAACATATCATGATAAATCAATAAATGATCTTGCCGTTTCTCGAGCAGTCAGCTTTGACACTTTTGCTTCTTCCCACTATCAAGTTGGTTTTGAACGTCTCATCTGGTGGTTTCGTAACTATCTTACAAGAACCTATATTTTTTGATGGGCTTTGGAAAAGGGGGTTACAGGCCTCTCCTCCTTCACATTACACAATCATAGAGCAAGTCATGCTTCCGCGCTTTGGTTCCAATGATTATAGTGTTGATACGATGATTTAAATATCTGTCTTCTGGGTAAAGTGAAGAATGAGCGAGGTGAAAGTGGTGGAAGAAGCTGGTCCCATGTGCGGAAAATACACATTGACATAGGATGATCCGGGTAATTTGCAACTGCTCCAACATAATTCATGTGAAGAATCAGTAATGATGTAATAGAGAGTGAAAAGCTTTCTTGAGTATGAAAACGCAACCGACAAGGCGAGAAAAGAAAATTACACTACATCTTTAAAACGACAATAGCCCATATATTGCAACCTTAATCTCCTGAACCCATACCTCTACCAATACCACGGCTTGCACAAAGACAGTACAATTCAACGAAGAATTCCAGATGTGAATGCCAGTCATTCTTCAGCAGTGAGTACCCCTATTGGACAAGCAAAAATCGGTACAACTGTCATGCACCTTGACATTCTCCAGCTTCCCCGAGACTCCGCTCACTGTGCAACTCGTAGAAATGTGACGGGCCCATGGCACCAAATCCCCTTTCGTAAGACCGGAAACAGCATCACCCCAGGAAGCGCAGCAAAATCTGTTCTTATCAGAGCCGGCCCCCTGGTAGCAAACTTGACGAGGCTCCTCTGCTATTGTAACATCAGAATTCTCCTTGAGTTCCTCGATCAATTTGTCGCAGATTTCGTTGCGTGCGGTATGATCGTCGTCGCAATTGGGGTTAATGTCACCTCCACAGCTTGGTGTCGCTCGTGGGCGGAGTTGATTGGGCTTGGTGTTTGGCTGAGTAGTCTTGCCGTGTCCATAGAAGACTAAGGAATCCTTTGGGTTTGAGACTTTCTCGCGGTAGAGTTCTTCCCAAGTGTCGCGCTCGTGGATCCCTTCTAACTCAGAACGAGCTTGTTTGGGAAAATCTTCCATTGGAGTTGCCAGCAAAGTGGTGGCGGATGCAAGCGCGAGCATAATGGAATTGGGCTGCATTCTGAGATCTTGCAGAGAAAACGACGACAAGTGTCTTCTTGATAACTTAATTCAGGCAAATTTCAAGTTGTCAAATGTTGAGGGAGAGTATGTTATTAAAAGGCGTGTTGAAGATGTGAAAACCGCTTGTCTTGGATCCTGAGACTGATAAAGATATAAGACTTCTCTGACTTCTTATAGACTCTGCAAGTATGTACCACGTCATCATGCGGAAGTGTCAAATGTACTTGAGGTGTCCGAAACTGATGATAAGAAAAGGCTAGAACATACTGGGGGAGAAAGATCTGAAGGTAGACACGATCGTGCAATGATCCGTGAGGTAATGTACCAGTAACCCCTAACTTGTCAAGGTTGGCCTTGAACTTATTATCCACACAATTCTGCCAGGTTGGTGTTGTGAATACACAATCATACGCCAGTTCTTGCTATTGCTTACCTCTCACCATCGTTGCATTTTTCTTACCTCGCTACTCTACTAGCATATACCTGAACTCCACGTGCTTGTACCGACTCTGACATTTCAAAGATTTATTCAAATATAGCTGATACCAGTCGCGACCTATTCGCATTCTCGCTAAAGCACAAGCTGTGCGAAAAGTAAACATCGCTATCTTTCATGCGAAATAAATGTATTTCTCTCAAATCTCTATTATGTCCCCTACGCCTACTATACCAAGCATCATTAACTATAACAGAAACAGTCTTCAACCGAAAGGGAACATAACAAAATCATAAAGCGAAGTACCCTTCACAAGATTGTGAAGTATCACGTGACCAGGCAAGCCCAGGAGCAGGGGTAAGACGGTATAGCAAGCAAATGAGCTCAAGTCCTCTGACAGATTCAATCTATTTAGCTTTTCAAACCCCAGTATTCGAAGTCTCAACTTCAACCAAATGATTGTTGGATGCCACGAATCGCCCAACTCGCTTCCGTGGTTCCGTACAACAGGGATTACCTCCGTAACCGCGAGTGAAGCGGCAACAACCACAAAAAAACATCAAACTCGGAATATGGCGCTTTGAGCGTCCGACTTGTAATTTGTTTAAGATGATGGGGCTTTTGCTACAATCCATGTTCTTTGGAAGCCGATATTCAAATGCCGGATGCCTTTACCGCTGGTGGCAGAGTCATAAGTACAACGAAGTTATCCCGTAACACGCAAGTTCTTATGTTAGATCAGCTGATTGGGTGGGTAGTATTTTGCGACTGTATATACTAAAGACAATGTTCTTTCCTCAGAATCTAAACCATCAAATACCTCCACGAATGAACTTCTTCTGCCCTCGACTGAAACGCTCCGTGACATCGTAAGTTCGGTCTATCAGTCGTAGTGTTATACATAGCATCGATCAGCAATTGCAAAACCTCATACACCATCGATGCATCCCCATGCCTCAAAAACTCTTCGCTGTGCCACTCGTCACAAGTCCAGGTGTCACATCCACAAATTCTGCCGCAAGATCCTTCCCTGTGATCTTGCGCCAGAAAAGCTTTGGTGGTGCTAGGGGCTGGTAGGAAGGATCTTTATGCCCTGTCTCGTAGAGACTTGAAGGGAGAAGTATGCGGATTATTTAGTGTGGCCATGGACAATGGAGTCTGAGGTTGTGTTCTTGATGTGGCCTGCTGTGGAGATACCGATGGGGTCTACGCCTGAGGCTATTACTTGATTGCCTACGCAGTTACAGCATTTTGCTTTGGCTATTTTTTGTTCTATGATAATCGTGAAAGTACTTGCGCGTATTACTTTTTTGGTAGCCTTTGTAAAAAGGAAAGTAACAAATACAAATTTGAAAACAGCATTTCCAGCATAAAGCACAACATGAACATCTACCCTTGTCACATTCCTCCGGTCGAGAGTAGGAACTGACTCGGTTATTTTCTCTTCGTAAGGTTTCGATAGGCCCCAAGTGCTTCATGGAATTTCTCGGTATTTAGATAGGCAAACGAATGGATGTAAGGAAACGGATTGGGGGAGTTAACTGGCGCACGTCAAATTGATCTCTTCCCCGAATTATCTTGCAGATGTATTGGACAAGGATATAGCAGACATTGTCAGATGTCATGCAGACGATTCATTCTTCATGAGCGGCGGAAAATTTCGTTTAGTCCATGCAGTCGCCCGTACCATAGAGGTGGTTGTGTATACAAATCTCTTGGCTTTCCGTGTATGGGTGGCAATCGTATTATTGGCAGTCGTACTATGATGGCCGCTGGTATGAAGATAAAAATAGTTTATTTCCTGGTTATCTCATACCATATCAATTTTGGGCGACTGGAAGAACCACCTAATCCTGACAGTCTTCGAGGGAATGTCAGTAGCACATGCGATATCCTTCCGCGTTTTGTTCCTAGATGTCGATGGCGGAGATAGGCCATAATGACCACAACAATACTCCATGCGTAATGGAAACTGTTTGCTTTTCCAGGGTACAGCATTGAGAGAAAGCACAATTAAACCCCAAAGCGTCTTTCATAAACTTGAAGTAGTGTTGCCAGTCGATATTGCGCTCAAAGTCCGGTTTGGAGAACTGAACGCATCACACGTATCCGCGCAGTCTGGCCAGACTCTATTTAGAAGTCCAACGACCAATTCTTTGAATGAAAAGTCAGTGTTATTTATTGACTATGGATCTTTTCACTTGCGCGTCTGCTGGAGAGAGGTAACTGTCAACAGGTACGCTGTAAGAGAACCAGAACCCGGAGTAAACTAGGTGATCAATATCTGGTTCAAATGTAAGGTTATTCCTTACTTCAAGGCCACATTTAAAGACAAGAACTCACATACATTGTTCCTGACATTGGAACAAGAATTTAGGCTATCGTCAACATCTCTATTACTGCCAACGCGCGACAAGGTCCAACTTCCTCAAAGACCCAAATCATAGGGGAAGACCATATACCACCACCGCTATTCCAAGCCTACTATAGAGGTTAGTACAAAACTCAGAAAAAAAAAGACAAGACTCAAAGAAACAGAGAACACCCTTATGAAGTTTCAATATGAAGTTTCAATATGATAATCCAAAAAGAAAAATACCGTCAAAATCCCCCTCCTCAGGATCTTGATTCCTCCCCTCAGAACCAAAAAGGCACATGTTTTCCCTCTACCTCTAATCAACACCAGATACTCACCGGGCCAAATCCCCAAGCATAACGCAAAAGGCACCACAATCGCCTTCTAAAGCAAAAATAAAGTATACATATTGCCATTCAAAAGAGTGAACTCTGCAGCTCGTCTCTTTAACGACATCGCAGCCTCCTAACCATAGAAAAGAAGAGGGGCAGATAGAGAGAGGCATTTCTACTACTGGGCAATAAAAGACGGTGATTTGGTAAAGCAGAAGAGACATGTTCATCGCGTGAAAATCAAATTTACCTATCGAATATACTCAGGTACTAGTAGTAACCTTGGATAGACCCCAGATTATATATTAACGATCGAGATCCGCGCTCAGACATGATGAATGTTTATTTACAGGCTTCTATGCACCACTGTGGTAGTTCAACACAAATTTGCGATATGGTTGGATATGTAGAGTATAAATAACGTATTTTACTACCCTTTCTAGCAAGAGAAAATAGCTTAGAGATATTAGCGCAGGACGAAGAATGGCCCTGGTATCCTTCCCGACCCCTCGACCCTGTAAATACGAGAGACAGCCCCTCCTTCCCCATCGATAAAGATTTTATACGAGATCCTGTTTATTTGATTTTCTGTCACTCTTATATATCACCGAACCCTCCGACATGATTGTTCGTCTTCATCCTTCCGCATCGCCCTAAAAAAGAGCTGGCGTATATTCACGATGTTTTTCATCCTTTCAGTCGCTACCCTAGTTTCCTTAGCCAGCAGCCATGTCTTCCCCCAGCAAACAGACACTTATCACTACATGCCCGTCGATTTCGACTACGGCGCTGATTCGAGAGTGACGACGAATATTAGCTTTGGTACTTCGAGAGATGCGGAGCCTTTCAAGGTCGTGATGGATACGGGGAGTGCGGATTTTTGGGTGAGCTCGGCGAATACTACAAACCTTTGCAATGTACAAATCGCTAATCCTGAGATGTGAGTAGATATGGGAACCAGGAGCGATTGTCCATTGGGGGTCTCCGTATCTTGGAGTTATCGGGCCTTGTAATGAGACCGTTCCAACGAGATATGATCCCGAGAAATCGACAACTGCTGTTATCAGAGATAAAGCGTCGACGTATGCTTACGCCGGGAATTCAAAGATTGTTTCGGGCTCGCGTTACGCGAATGATACCATTACGGTCCCAGGAGGTAATGGGCCGATTCCTAATGTCCAGTTTGCGTTGGAGAATACATGTCTTATTCGACAACGTGATGGTGGGAGTTGTTCATCGATATCTTATGACCTTGGGATCTTGGGACTTTCTCCTAACACGGAAACTACATCCGGTCCCTCATTTCGCCAGAATCTATTTGATACCGGAGCGATTGCATCGAAGACTATGGTTATGTGGTTCAATAAACATATCGGTTCTCTCGGGAAACTCACTGGAGGGATCCTTTTTGGTGCGATCGATAGGTCGAAATATATAGGTCCACTGGTGAGGGTACCGAATGCTATTACATCTGGACAAGTAGGATATTACGTTCCCAAACCATTAATTTACTTCAACGGCCAGAGCTTCAACGGAACTGCGGATACGAATTGTCTCGTTGACTCGGGGGCCCATGCGGATTATCTTCCTCTTGGATATGGAGAGCAAGAAAGGGAATTCGCTGCCAAGACTGGACTTGTGAATTACAATGGTGTTGTTGCGTATAATGGAAGTTGCGACTCGATCCCACAGGATATTGCGATTTCGTATACTTTTGCGGGTGTTGATGCGAAGGAGAATGTTACTATTGATATTCCACTGAGGAATTATGCTAGGGGAGCTTTTGGACCTGAGGGATTGTGTCTTCTGAATCTTGAGATTGGGGGTTGTCTGCTTGGGGCTCCTTTCGCTTCGAGCGCGTTTATTGCTGTTGATGATGGGGATAGGTCTATTGCGTTTGCTCAAGGGGGAGTTTCGGAAGAAGGTTCGGGCGTTGATGGTGAGAAGTTGGTTGTAATTGGTGCTGGAGAGAGCTATGATCCTAAATAAAATCTGTATGGCGATATCACTTGCAATAAAATAACTCTTGGACTTTAATAGAGCGTTTGGTTTCAAATGTTCTCCCTCTCCGTACGAGTACGTGTAGAATGAAAAAGATATTTTCCGAAAGACTCCAAGATCGAATCCCTCCCAGAGTTTTTGGTAAGCTCATTCTACCGTATTTTAAAATAATACAATCAATTAGAACAGGTCTTAATAACAATTCAGGATACTACTCGAGTAAACAATAGAGGAAGGGAAAGGCATTACTTATATATACTCGAGTAGCAAAGCTCCTTAAGGGACCAAGCATGCAGAGGACTATGCCGATGACTGCCGAAATTGTGCCGCTGACGAAAGACTGTGTGCCCGAAGCCTCTACTTCCCTCATCCCCCGCTGTTGTGATACTGTACTGTAGCCACATCCAAGGCTCACACCACAGGCAAAGTAGTGACAGTGACTTGAGCTTTCTTGAAATAGTTCTTCACTTCCTTTCTTCTTGGAGTCCGGTGCTGATCCCGTGTACTGAGATATAGGGAAGCTCGTACTGACTTAACAGAGCTCACAGAATCGACGAATCTCAAGCTTGCTCAATCTTGTCCCAAAGCGCCGTGACCATATTTCATTCAGAATGGCCAGAGATATGCTGCAATTTCCATCCGAGCACCGGGCATTCCTCGAGCCTCACCTCCCCCCAAGAGACCTCCCACCAATCTCCAACTCTCTCCCCTTCACAACCGTCACATTCGCAACCTCCCTCGATTCGCAACTCGCTCTCTCACCCGGCGCACCAACCCAACTGTCCGGGCCTCAATCGAAGGCAATGACCCATTATCTGCGCTCTCGATACGATGCTATTTTAATTGGCGTTGGCACTGCAGCTGCGGATAACCCAAGTCTGAATTGTCGAATTGAGGGAGTGGGTGGGTATGGCGGGGAAGGACTGGACGGCCAGCCTCGTCCGATTGTCATTGACCCTTCTGCGCGTTGGGATTTCATTGCGAACCACAAGATTTTCCGGTTGGCGAGGGATGGGAGAGGAAGAGCGCCGTATATTATTACTGGAGAGGCATCTCCGCCTGTTGATAAGAAAGCTATCTTGGAAGAGGCTGGAGGCGAGTATATCACGGTGGACATGCCCAATACCGGTGCCAATGGCCATAAAATGGATTGGAGGGATATATTGAATGCTTTAAGTGCAAAGGGTTTAAGAAGTGTTATGATTGAAGGTGGTGGGTCTGTCATCAATTCATTGCTGCAACCCGAGTACTTTTCCATCATCAATTCTGTCATTGTTACCATCGCTCCCACCTGGTTAGGCACCGGAGGCGTGGTTGTGTCTCCGCCCAGACGTTTCAATGGCGAAGGAAACCCAATGGCTGCCGTACGACTGGATCACGTTCAATGGAACCCGCTAGGAGAGGATGTGGTCTTATGTGGAAAGATGAAGATATGAGAGCACATCAAGGCTGAGTTGTCAATAGCGATTACTTGCACGACGAGTCTATTGGCCTTTGACATTCCAACCAATCCTTTGATCTTCACGCCTGTGGACTTTTGTTTCCAAAATGACGGCGCCAGTAAGCAAGAAGTACAGGTGACGGGCCAGCCTCCCCTATCACCATAAGCTAAAGAATAAGGCAAGAACTGCCCAGGATGTGACATCTACTCAGTGATCAGATTCGAGGTTCGAATCTGCTGCATAGCTAGATCGGAAGTTGCTTGAATCTGTTTCCATCGGACTTCGCTCCATTGGGGTTAGTTAACCAACTGCAGTGTGAACCAACTACAGGGCCAACCAACACTATGCTTAGCCAATCCGACCACTCAATTTGATATCTTTCTGGGGTTTACATCCCCACTAGAGATGAAATCCCATGATAAGAAGTAAACATCCATTCTCCATTGCCTTTTTTCCAACACTCTTCTTTTTTTCTTCAGAAGTAAGGTCACAATTGTTTCTCAAACTATCGTTATGGCTATGCTTCCACTCATGGAAGCTGTACTGGCGTGTCTTCTATTGATCATAACTCAAGCTTTTCGCAGGCTCTACTTTCATCCTTTAGCCCATATTCCAGGACCAAAACTTGCCGCCCTTACCTGGTGGTACGAGTTCTATTTTGATGGCATCAAAGGAGGCAAATACGTCTTCAAGATCCAAGAGCTTCATACGCAATATGGTAAGTCCCCAATGAATTATTCCGGTGTTCCCGAATAAGCTCAGTGTAACCGTCACCCAGGTCCTATTATTCGTGTCACTCCAGATGAAATCCACGTGAATGACGTTGGCTTTCTGGACGATGTGTACGCACCATCAACGGTTCGAAGGGATAAGTATAGTTATCAATCGAAATCTCTACGTGTCCCTGGTGGTGTGGGTGCCACAGCGGGCTTTGATCTCCATAAGAAGCGACGCGATGCACTCACTCCGTTTCTCAGCAAGCGAAATGTAACATTTCTGGAACCTCTTATCACTAAGAAGGTTAACCAGTTATGCGACGTGATCCAAAAGCATGCAGATACGAGTACTCCGGTCAACCTCTCTGATGTATTCTTTGCTTTTTCTAACGAGTAAGAGTCTCCGGTTCATCAAGATACAAAAAACTGATTACTTTAGTGTGGTCGTGAACTTTTTGTTTGCCCATGAAGTCAATCTCCTTGCAGACATAGAGCTCGCGGCGAAACAACGGCGAAATAGCAATGAGCTCTTGCTTGGTATCAATATGAACAAACACTTCCCATGGATCCCCGATTTCCTCGAGGCTCTACCGCTGTTCATCAGCAAGCCAATCATGCCACCGGGACTGATCGATATGCTGGACTTGTTTGATGTTAGTTGGCTGCAATCTTTCTGTGTTGTTGACTGTTTCTAACAAAAATATGCAGAGAGTTCGAGCTGAGCTACTTGAGATCATAAAGAACAAAGCCTCTTCGACTCCTGGTGAAAAGAGCAACGGTCCAACTGGCAAGTAATCTGTATATGACTCTGTCCTCGACAACCCTAACTTACCAGCGTCCGAGAAATCACTTCTGCGTTTAGAGCAAGAAGGCGCGCTTCTTGTTCTGGCAGGTACGGAATCACCTGCAAAGACACTAAACACGATTTTCTACCACATCCTAGCCAACCCGACGATTTTCGCCAGACTTCGCGCGGAAATAAATACACTTCGCAGGACCGCAACCTGGACCCAGCTCGAACAACTCCCTTATCTGTCAGCCGTCATCGAAGAAGGAAATCGATTATCCTTCGGCGTCACCGCGAGAGAAGCAAGAATTTCTCACGAACCACTGACCTACACTCCCTCCGTACATGCCTCCATCCCCCCTCAAGCACCAAAAGATCCTTCCTCATACCCCCCGGTACACCCATCAGCATCACCACTTTGAGCGCTCACACCGCGCCAACCGTCTTCCCCAACCCATTTATCTTTGACCCCGAGCGTTGGCTCGGCGAAAAAGGACGCGAGAGGAGGAAATTCCAGTTCGCGTTCAATAAAGGGGGCAGAAAGTGTTTGGGCATTGAGTTGGCAAGGGCGGAATTGTATCTGGTTACTGCGGCTCTTGTGAGGGGGTTTGAGATGAGTCTTTGGAAGACGGAGGAGGGGGATGTGGGGTTTGAGAGGGATTTTCAGGTTGCGATGCCGAGGGAGGGGTCTGTGGGGGTGAGGGTTTTGGTAAATGGGAGTTGAGGGGGGAGGGAGTCTATATGGTTTGGAGTAGACTTAATTGCTATTCAAGTTGAGCCAAAATAGGGTGAATTTGATTACTTAAGTACTAATGAAGTTTTTGGTTCGCTGAGGAATCCCTGAACGCTATTATTTTCGAAATGAAAAGTATCTGTGAAAGCAAGACACAAGATCTGCACAATACTGATACGAAGATTACATTCCCATCACCAAGCTACTCGAACCCTTTAACTCGGCACCCATCAGTACTAGCCAGTACCAAAGTAAGATCCTGCTTTTCCGACCCCACTCTCACAGGTTTATCTATTTCCAACCTTCTAAACCTCTGCAATATCCTCGTGACCACAAAACCCGCTTCCAGCAACGCAAATTCCTCTACAATACATTAGCTTTTCCATCTCTACAATAAAAGCGATTGGTCTATAATGACTTACGACCTAAGCATAACCTCGGACCCCCGTTGAATGGCAGGTATCCCAACCCTATATTGCAAAGATTCACCACGTTACTTCGATCCTCAATATCCCAACGCTCTGGACGGAAGGTCTCGGCGTCCTCGCCGTATAGTCCTTTTGATCGGTGCATTACGTACGTTGTGTATCCTACATTCTCTCCCTTCCGCACCATGATGGGCTGGCTGCCATCGGGGCCTCCGCCTTTGGGGAGGATGGTGTCTTTGAGTGCTGTTCGGCAGTTCATTGGGACGGGGAGGTATAGGCGTGATACTGAGGATGGATTAGAATTTTTGTAAAAACTGTTTGTTGAAGAGGATGGAATGAGATGGGTCTTTACCTTCTTTTAGTACATAGTGTAGATACTTCATTTTCTTAAGCGAATTCTTGTCCGGTGCTCTCGCTTCGTGGCCTACGCCAACAATTACACTTATCTCCTCTCGGAGTTTTGCCAGGACTTGTGGATGTTGAGCTAACTGCCGACTGTTCATATCGGCGAAAAGAACCGAGCTAAGTGGAATGGAGACAACTTACAAAGTCCATGACAAACAACAGGCCGTGGTATCCCTACCAGCAAGTAATACATTGAGAAGCTGACCACGCAATACCTTCGGATCACGAGTTTCCCGCACTAGAATGTCTAGGAAGCTATTGCCCTGTTTGTCTTTGATTGGTGCTGCCGAAAGCGCTTCTTGCACTGCCTCGTCAACAAATCGATGTACGATCGCGCAATTCTCTTCGAATTCGCAGCTGTTGACTAACCAAAATAGACCCCCTAGATGACCACGACGAAAGAGGTAATCCTGAGAGATCCGAAATGCTTCTGAGAAGCGAGACTCACTTGAGTCGCCACTACCGGTGCCTTCCAATGAGTTCATAGACTTCCCAAAAAGGAGGAGGGTCGTTGTGTCGAATGTAAACCTGAAAAATAGCGGCTGAAGATCGATGAATTCCCCAGTTGGAATGCAATCTACCAACCTATCCGTATGCTTCTCAACTTGTGAAAAAACGTCCGTTCGATTAAGGCAAAACAACGGACGTAACATAACCCGAGAGTGTTTCCACGCCCCATCATCCTGCGTGAAAATTCCATCCCCAAGGAGCGGAGCGAATACTGCTCGTCTTGTTCCAAGACTATATGCTAAAAGTCTCCGTCAATTGCCAATTCTATACCAAACCTCGCCTCTAACTTTCAAATCTCTTAAGAACAAACTTACAGGCAAAATCAGAAGACAACATCGCCTCCATATTCTCAGGCTCAACGGTATTTATACTCCGACCCCCTAAAACCACTTGCTCAAACGTCTCGCCGACTTCATTGAATATTTGCTGCAACCAAGATAACGTTCTTTTCTCTTCGGAGCTGCGGATGGCTTCGAGGAGTCGGTCGATTGCGAGGGGGTATTTGTATGGGAGTTGGGGGGGAGAAGTACATTGATGGAGTCTTTGGAAGTTGTTTGTGGGCTGTGTTTTGGTTTAGTTTAGGAATTACGCGAGGAATGGGAGAATTGGGCTTACGATTCTTTTGAGGATTTGGAAGGTTATGTTTTATAGGAGGATGATTATTATGATATAGAGAAGGATGTGGATGGAGGCTATTTTCGTAAGTGCGATTGTAAATCCGTTGATGGTTCGTTGTTTGACGGGATCGGACTCGGAAAACCATGGGACATACATTTTGGAATGAGTTAAATTGTATTAAGGTTGCAGAAATATTACAGGTTATGTGGGTTGGATTATTATGTTGCTTACTGGTTGGGTCCAACATTCCATCGCCCCTGCTTGCCATGTCTTCAGTAGGGGTTGAAAAATTAGCGAAAATTACTTAGCCAGATTATATACTTAAACCTACTCTAACATAATTACTGTAAGTATAACCTGTGTATAATTGATTAGCTGAGAATTTCTTTCATACACTGAATAGGGGGTAGTTCTATTAGTGTTACATGAAAGATAGGTAGTTCTGGTAGCAAAAACTTTCCAATCTCTATGTATATCCACACCTATTTCCGAGTGGAGTAATCCAGCCTTTGATCTTCACTATTAAAATATGATCTCTCCTTTAGAAAGTCAGCAGAGTCCAGAAGAACTGGTCACGTCAAATGTGAATTTACTCATAAGAACATAGCAGAACCTAGCTTACCTAGCCCACCTAGTTCCTAGGACTTGCTGCTCACTATCCTGTCAAGGGTTTAGTAGTGTATCCTTAGAAACTCGTTTTGTTTTCGTGGGTGATGTTCACACCAAGGGATGACTCGACTTGATGGAAGAATTACCAAGTCATTCTGGGAGCGCATAATGGAAGAAATACTACTCATGATGCCTCAGCTTTCATGACCTCAACTACAAAGATGCACGAGAGCACCTGTGCCTCGAGTAAACCCGTACTTCGGAGAAAGAAAATTGGATATCAACGTGTTCATCAAATTCCAAGTATCGACTATCAAACACCGCCCCCATAAAGAGCCCGGAAAATCCCAGAGATATCAAATCTGAAACCGATACATCCCAAGCACCACATCGCCCCCATAGATCAAGTATATATGACATTAGTAAGAGCATTGAAACTCAATGCCTCAACCGCAAAATCCACTTTCTCCATAAACTTCAACGGCATCTCCACCAACGATCCCCGAACCCCATCCAGTAGATCCTTCAACTCCCGTACTCCACCAGGGAACTCGTCTTTTACGACATGTCCATAAGGATACTTGGCCGGTAAGTCCTTGTCGTCTTCATCCTTACCAGGGGAGATGAACAGGTCTGCGTAGAAGGACTTATATTCATCCCAGTCGGTGACCAAGTCATTGGGGACGGGATGGAATGCGCGACTAAAGATTCTTGTGTTGGTGGCTGCTGTTCTGGTCCAGAGCTCTTCGAATTCCTCGCTGAGAGGGTCTTGGACGAGGATGTCGGCGGGGGAGCCCCAATCGTAGACGTTGGGGTCTCTGTTAATGGGCATGAAGTTTGCATCTGGACGGTCGTGTTCTTGATGTGGGAGGAGACCGAGATGTTTTCTGAATAGTTGGCGACGGAGTGAGGCTGCGTAGGCAGATGCTCTGTATTCGGAGCCGGCCATGATCGAATCGACGGGTGTTGAGTCTTCAATTACGACTGCGATTTCTGAATCGTGGTTTCCAAGTTGGGATCGATCGTTGAGGTTGGCGCTACCGCAAATGACGACGCGGTCGTCGGCAATGAGGACTTTGGAGTGGATGTAGAGTTCTATTGAATAAATTTGTTAGCAAGCGAGAAAAAGCAACGAAATAAAAGGGGTTCTTACGTTCGCTGACGAAAGTATCAAGCTCGGCTTCTTCGCTTCCACTCCACGGAATATCTCTGATTGATGGTCCGCCATCCATGTAACAGGAACTTACGGTATCAAATCTGGTGTCCTCAACTTGAGAAGCAGATTGCTGATAACGGTCATACTCCTCGTTTTGCTGTCCATATCGAGCACCTGTTCTCTCACCATATCCACCATACCCAGCACCAACCATGTCATCATGCTCCCTTCTAGCATCCTCATAGTTGACTCCACTGTCTTGCTCAACATTTGACATTGCTCTACCAGATTGGATTCTGTCGTAATTTCTGAGATTGTAGAAGCGAATGTATTCGGCGGCATTAGGCACACCTGCCTTTTCAATTTCTGGGCAAAGATCAGTTTAATTCCATTGTCAGCGAGTGGGATACGAACCTTCGATTATACTATGTCCACCACGGCAGATACTGTTGTATTGATATTCCATGATTGCTCTGGTTCCAAGACTATCATCTGATTGCAAGTCACCAGCGAAAGCAGGGACCGAAGGCATCAATACGATAACCTTGTATCGCTCGCCTCGCTCATAGGCGCGAACACAACGCTCTACAATTGCAGCACCAATCTTGTTCTTGACAGCTCCTTGCTCATCACCGGTGGCAGTAATAAAAAACTGGTTTTCAATGTAGACGAAATGTTGACTATGTCTGATGACTTCGATGTATGCATTCGCGATGGAGTGCTGGATAAGTCAGATGACATCGAAAATGTTATTGCTAGGAAGTTTGTAACTTACTTCAAGTGGAATACCATTGCTCCATTTTGTACAAGATCTGACCAGTTGTACAGAAACGCCTGTTGGTCTATGATCTTCGGATTGGTATGAATGCTGAGAAAACTGATGTCTGAAAGCACTAAAATGATGATGTCTCTCGGGGGCCTCGTATTCTCGAGGTGGCGCATTGAACTCATCGCCCTCCTCCTGTTCCTTGAGTGGATTCAAATTGAAGCCATCATGATTGTAATATCCTTCAGTGATTACATTGCCTTCCAGGGTTAATGGCTCATAGTTTTTTCCAGGCACCTGATATTTCTCCTTGTGAATAAAATTCCATCTTTGAACAAAATGTGCTTTCAAGTCTTGTACCACAGGACCGCTCAAACACAAGCTCAAATCGCCCCAACCCATTCGTGAATTCTTTGTTCGATCAAGTTTGTTGTTCTCCCAATTTTCCACATCCGCGAAGTCGTACACTCTCGCATTATTAAAGTCCTGGCCTGGGAACAGGGCCTTATTAACATCGGTAGGGTGAGCATCGGAAATAGGATGAGAATTTGTATCCCAACGACCAAAACAGAGGTCCAGACCTCCCATGAAAGCATTTTGACCATCAATTAGGCAAAGCTTTTCGTGATGTGCCCAGTATAGAACAATGTCCTCACTGGATCCATAAACTGATTTGAGTTGTTTCTCGGGAAGTTTCGCTAAATCTAATGGCTTGAAAGAGAGGTTCTTCAAACCCTCTATCAGATCGGATCCAAGATCCTGACCGCTCGGCAAGTGGTCTGGATGCCGGAAGACTCGGATATTTGGGTGAACTTCGAGGGCATGTTTTGTGTGCACGGAAGCAACTAATATGTGTTAGAGCTTCTCGAGGGGTCTTGTGGGGAAGGCGCGAGGGGAACATACGGGTGAGAACTTGTGGTACCTCCTTGTATACAATAATGTTGACCTTGACTCCTCTCTCAGCAGCAGCAACCAACATTCTATCCACTCGGTATTCCTCGTTCGCAGTAGGGGGCCTTCTCAAATATAGTTCTAGAGATTGGAAGGTTATGTTAGTTAAACATTACTTTACATCATTCTCGTTCCCAGAATTCGACATACCTGGAGTCAACCACCAATCCAAGATCCAGATGCTTTCTCTGGCCTCCTCAAGTGCCACACTTACTGCCCACATATAGCCACATCCATCCACATACCACTTAGCATCGTTGCCGTGGCGTGCTGGTGCAAAACTATGAAATCGATTGTCGGGTCCAGCCCCAGTTCCAGGGAAAGATTGTTGTTGGACTTCCTGCTGTGACTCTTGAGGTTTTTGGTCGTCATCTCCGTCAAGGACATCTTCAATCTTGTCCTTGATCTTGGAGGCCAGATCTTCGAAGAAAGACATTGTGAAAGCTGTATCGAGTGCAAGTAAAGATGTTGTTGGATACTGACAAGCTCGTGCGGAGAAACAGGAAGCAGTGCTCGAGATAAAATTGCTTGTCAAGATGTGATTAACGATCCAAACTTCCAAGCCTCACAGAGGATGAATGGAGAGGAGCAGAAGCGATATCTACGTGATTGGGAAAGCAATTCACTAAGAATGAAGTTGGTAGAATTGAAGCTCAGCTCACACAGACCATAAGACGACAAAATAGATGGCACTGCCCCTCATCCAGAGAGCTGTGCGGAGCCTATGGTGCGACAGCTTGGCAAACCACTTGTTACTTTTCAGGTATCCAGGGCACCAAAAGGAAATCCGGTGTTGAGATAAACCCCTACCTTACGCTGTAGTGAGGGGTTAATCAGTTCGTGACGGGGCCCCCAAGTATCCTAATGAGGGGTCACAGTAAGAAAAGCGGTGGGTACGGCGGGGAATGTTCAGCTGAAATCCAGAGGATGACCCACCGAAAAGGACACCGTATATATTGGAGCCCGCATATCCTACAAATAAATTGTCAAAACGGATGACCGGAAAACCATTCAATTTCGCAGTCGAGCAAGAAGGAAATAGTTCAAAGTGTCTGTAGAAGTGGGGATGAAAGCGAGTCAAAGCCAGCCCGACCAGATTTACACAACGATAACCCAGTATGTACTTCTGTGTTACCACACCAGTAAGCAATGCCACCCTCAGGGCTGAAGAAGTTATTGTATCAATAAACATTTATAGCTTACACCGTCTGTGCAACGATCGTACAATACCAAGGCCCCCATTTCCTGATTCATTCCAACACCAAATCTAACTCTTCCAAACCCCCAGGTATCGTTCCCTCCAAAACTCCACGCTAATAACGATAAAAACACCGGTTCCTACCCTTTCATACCCTTTTATCCCGCTCGAAATACATCGGTCTAATCCTCTGGCATAGCAAAGCATCTCTCAATACTATCCTTATTATTACCCCACCAATGCGGCATCTTGACATAACTCCCTGCCCCAAACGCCAAAAACAACAACAACAAATTAAAATTAAACCCTGAATCGAAAGCCGCCGCCAGGATATAATTGTACCTCGCCAAGAGTTTTTAATGCTTTCGATATGCCCAATACATGACTACAAAACTCCCAATAATACTGGATGTTGGTCCGGATGTCATGTTTCCCCACCATGTACTGAGGGTACAATGAAATATGGTGCTGTTCCGTAGATTGAATTTTGCTCGCGGAAAGAAGCGATGAAGTGTGTAGAGAAGGATAGGTGTTACGGCGCCGAGCAGAAAGCCGTAGGGTATTAATTTATACAGGTCTCCCTTGAAGAGACGGATTGGGCCCTAGAAATGATTAGCGAGCATATACATGACAACTTTCGGAAACTACATACCAGTAACACGTACTGACTCCCGACAGTCAATGCAGATCTGAGACTTTGTCCTGTCCATTACCGTGCAGGATCTACCAATTTGCCTGAAACATAATCAAATTTCAAGTTCAATACCCATCGAACGACTCCATAATTTATAGGCACCCCAATCGTTGAACCAAACACTTGGGAGAAGAAAACCGCACGTGGTGGTATAAGCATGTAGTGTCCAATTTTCTGATCTTGAAGCATGATCTGGGCACGATACCATGCATCACCTGCAATTGTGCTGTAAACGAAAGCGCCGACAGGGTGCTTGTAACCATCAACAGAGTTTACCATTAATCCGTAGAGAAGCTCATTCGTAGTTCCAACGGGCTCGAAATAGTTAGCAGATAACTGGCAATCTTGGGCTGAAAAGGACTCACAAGTTGGAAATTTGACATAGAGTACAACCAACCAAGAGGCTATATATTTCGTTAGTATTTTTATGCTTCATATCAAACACGAGACAACATACCACGACGACGACGGCACCAGTACTCATGGCTACCAGCACCGTCCACCATGGTATATAAAGGTCTGTTTTTGCCACCACAGTCATGATAACTAGGAAAGCGCTTCCAATGAGAACCATAAACCAACTTAAAGGAACCTCTTTATAATTTCGCATAAGGACATTAAGCTGATCCGGGTACTGTTCACTGACGGGTTTTCTCCTTCCATTACTGGAGCGGTCTTTGAATTTCAGCCAGGCGGATTTTATAGCTGGATATCCAAAAATCGCCATCCATACCATTGCAGAGGAATATGACGCAAAGTCAAAGAACATTCCCCATCTGAGTTGGGTACTCATATACAGAGGACCAAGTTCGGCGTATGCTGTTTCATTGAGACTTGATTGGGAAGTCATGATTTGGTCGACTGGATACGTTGTACCATTTACTGCCCTACATTAGATGAATCCCGTTTCATTTGTTCTTTCTTTCCCAGGCAAAGGGCTTTCTCACCAGTGTAACGTCGATTGGACATCAAATATTTACTCCAGCCCCCAATCCCTCCCCATTTTGCCAGAGGCAACATTATCCAACAATTAACGACGAAACCCAAGTACACTATCAATTGTGTCCACCATGGAGTTAAAAATAAGCTTCCAGCTTTCCCAAAAGCACTAATACTAGACCAATCAAGTGAAAAATTCAAAACCCCCATTCCACCCAAACCCCCACCTATGAAATTCAAAGTTTTGTTTTGGGGAGCCATCCAGCACAGAATCGAAAGAGACTGCAGAAATGGGAACACAAATTCCGGCAAGAACTGCCAAAGTGTTACTCCACCAAGAACTAAGAAGAAAATTGTCATCTGCCGTCTTGAAACTGGAGACGGAGATTGGCGCTGACGTTTTTGAGTTTCGAAGAGAGCGGTTTGACAAAGTCTACAGGTTTATGGTTAGTCTTCGAAATATAATGTTGGGGAAGTGCAAACTTGGTGAAAGCTTACGCTTGATACCTGGTATAGTTAGTGACTAGTCGGTAAAGCTTAATTAATTACGTAACATGGATATTGTGGATCATGTATCAAAAACTGGCGTGCTATCGCTGCATATCCATACCCCAGTATTACCACAGCCCACATGAAAGGAAGTGCAACCATAGTTTTGATGCGTGTATCAAAGAATAGTTCTGCAATCGAAATAGGAAGAAAAGCCATATTGTATGTTGCACCGCTGCTTGCTGAAATGGTCACCATCGTATGTTCCTTAGAACTGAAAGGTCCCGGATTAAGACTGAAGCACTTCTTTGTGAATGGTAACCGGATTTCCCGAGCTGGAAGATACCTAGCCATCCAATCCCCTAGGTAATTGGTCGCAATCTGGACGAAGAATATCGAATATGGTGCATGTGTGGTGCGAAATTGTTGAGCTGTACCAAAAAGGCACCCGGCGCGATGAATAGCAAAGTCATAAAGAAATACCGAAACGTGATAACATGAGTATTCGGATCATCGTCCAGGCTAATTACTCGCCGAACCTGCCACGGGATATCACGAAGTAGGGGATCATCGTCCGGTACTGCCTCTTCATAATTTTCTTCACCCTTGTCGTCCACGAACAGCACGGTAGTATGCTTTTCGTTGTTTATATCGGGGTTGGGCGTCCTTCCGGAATTGCCATCGTCAGCCAGTGTTGTTCGTAGAGAGACATTGGAGGTAGAGCTGAGTCGTGATAAATCTGACGATTGAACATCATGGCTATACGGTGCTCTTAATCGATCTTTTGAGGTCTCTGACATAGTGGTGACCCAAATGCCTTGTCAACGATAGGTCTAAGGTGATATGAGAGGGACGATATGGACAAGAGAGGATAGAAAGAATAGAAATATCTTTTACCGGATGCCGACCATCACACCTTTATTGGGCGTTCAAACTCAATAATTCGGAGTTTTGTTATCGGGGCGCCTGTACATTATATCAGACAATATTGGCTTTGAGAACCTCGATTGCAGAACTGTCACAACCAGCTGATGAGGGAGCTGAACGTGCGCGGTACGCTATCGGGAAAGGACTGTCTAGCAATTGATCCCTCGTGGCATTTCCAACGAGTGAAGGATTACTGGTCTAATACTGGGGAGTTTTGCCGCAAAGATACATGAAGTGGAAGAGAACTAGCAGGGGCATTTACTCACTCGGGAAAGAAATGAGCAAGGGTGTAATAATGGAACAGTGTGGAGATACAGAGAAGAAATACGTCTTCTGATATGGGGCACAGAATATATTTTCGATGGAATATCCTTTGACTTTTCCATTGTTATTGACTCGTCTTAACAAAGCCTATAACGATCTGGCATATAAATACAAGGGCGGAAAATAACATGGGATTTACGTGCCATCGTCTCCCGCCATTCAGTCCGAGGGGTCGCCACAACCATGTCGAATACTCGTAGGTAGCATGTGGAGGGCTTGGGGGAAAGAAAATGACAAGTGAGAAGTAGAACGTGGGAGGGCAGAATTCAGCGCAACGTGCACTTGTCAAGGTATCAACCAACGTTATTGCTGTTAGGTAAAATGGATTATTCCGGGCGTTCCTACCATGGACCCGATGAACCCGCGGATTATAAGCACCGGGCTAAACAAACTTCATTTCGCGGATTCCATGAAGTCTGCTAGCCCCAAAGGCCATGATCCGTCCCACAAGAAGATCCCATAATGTGGTTGAGGGTGTTAGACATCGCCAACAGTCCGATTTAGCCAAGGATAGGCCGTGCCGCGAATTGGCTTCCCAGCTCCCCTCCACCACTATGCCTTCAAGTGTGGGATGAACAAATTGCGGTCAGCTTCATCCATCTGTTCTAGCCCGTTTGTTATCATCGGAATCTGTCTCGCCATGACCATTGACGCTATGATCATCAACCTCGTCCCGTGGTCGCACTCGACCTGCACCCTCTCCTAGAGTTGGCCCATTGCCTCCTTCGCCTATCCAGTTACCCTCTGTATCGAAGTACTCTGATATGTTCTCGGCTGTAATCCAGCCACCACTTCCAGGAAAAGGTGGTGGGAGCCCACCATCTGCCGCGCCTCTCTGCACGCCTGGCAGCCCACTAATACCGTCGTACCCGATGCTGCCCTCGAAAACTATGCGACTATCACCGTCACCTTCACCCATCTCTTCATCGTCTTGAAACCCGGGGTCTGGATGCATATTTGAGCAATTTGAGACGGCCTCAAAGAGGGACTGTATCGCGGAGGTACCAGACTCGGACACCAAAGGCGGAGGGGTCAATGTGAGTTCAACTATGTCCATGTCTTCGTCTTCGCCCATGCCGGCATTTGGATCAGACAATTCCAATTGCATATAGAGGCCCTGTAGCTGCTGAGTCGCATCGGAGGGGTCATCTAGACGTTGTATGGCGTGCAATGATATGTTTGGGTAGGGGATAGTCAGGCCAGTGGAGGTGGCAGGATTGAACAGGGTCAGACTTCTGTAGCAGTAAAGAATCAGCGGATGTCTCCTCCTGAGTGGACGCATAATGAATCGTGTGTGCGCAAACTAAGACGCGACGTACTCTGAGCTTGCGAAGATGTCTATCGATTCCACTATGTTGTCGCTAGCAGATCCTTCGGATTCTGTCCCGGTGTTCGACGAGGCATTGCCATTGCTTCCATCATCCTGTGTGAATATGGGCAGTTTCGAGAGGAGATGTCTCTGCGCAAGAGCTCGAGCGCTCGTAGCATGGTAGTGTAGGACGGGCCTCGCGCCAAAAAAGGTAGCTGGCGTCTGGGCCTGATGGTCGGAGAGAGAAGTGAAGCTATCCAGAGCTGGCGGAGAATGGATCGTGCTTGGGGGCATAGTTGCAATTGTTTACGTGTCTACTACTGCTGTCAAACTCGAGGCTGATGCGATTTTGGGTGGGGTAGTATAGCTTTCCCCGGTGAGGCTGTTGTGGAGACTTATTTTGTTTCCCAAAGCGGTTAGTCCAGCATCAACCCCTTTTCTTGGCGATTTTATATGGGGTACAGCGACGCTCGCCACCCAGCTTCAATGCGACGCATCACAACAGCAGCTCAACCGAATTTCTTCAAAAAAAGAGATTGAAACAAACCCCTACCCAATTGCAGTTTGATCTTTGAATAGCTCTTTTCGAATGTGTATTGAATTGGCCGTTTAGATTCAAGGGCAGGGATGCCTCAGATTATCCCCCGCTTGTATTCTTCCACGGCAATATGATTCGCGAGACCTATGTGAGTTTGGCAGCACAAGACTGTTTTCGTAAAAATGGTAGGGTGACATGCGTATTTCGAGGGCAAGTGCATATGTCGTTCAACCATCTCAGTGCTATCGTGTTTCCATCTCTAGGCCACATGTTTCCTTACCCCTCTTATATTTCTATCTCGCTTTTCTGCTTAGTCGCGTCCTTGCAAATCTTACAAGTACCACAAACCATCTTAATTCCTGCCTACTACATTGTACCTCATCTGGGCGGCAAGCGAAAACATGGACAGAGTGAGCGCAGCGGCTACGATCATTAATCTGGTTGACATGGCGGCCAAAATCGGGAAGGCGCTTAAAGAGTACCATGACGACGTTCGCGATGCCAGAGAAGATATCCGGAAGTTGTACGGGTCGATTCAGAGCTTGAAGTCTCTACTGGAGCAAATTCGAGACTTTCAGCCCCATCAAACACAATTTCGACACGGCTCTGGGCCTCTTAGCCAGGCCCAGGAAGAACTTGACCGCCTATCGCAGAAAGTTCAAGTTCTCCAAGGATCAGAGGCGGCGTGATAAGGTTTAACAATCTTTAAAGTGGCCACTCGACAAGAGTTGCGTGGAGAAAGCCTTGGTAAACATTGAGAGAGCCAAATCTAGCCTTAAGCTTGAAATTGGACTCAAGCACTTGTAGGCGGATGGGTTCGTAATGCCAGGACAACACTCCAGGTGATGTCAAAAAGAGAGGCAAGGCCCCATTTGTTATCACAATCACTAACCAATGTCTTCCAAATGATATAGAAACCTTCAAATCGAGCATTTTGACATATGCTTAGACATTATAAACGAGATCAAGGACGCTCAAGGAGACAAACAGAAATGTGAAACCGATACGTGGCTCTCTCCAGAAGTTGCAGACCCCTCTACGGAACACAACATTGCCCGGTTTAAACATGAAGAGACAACAGGGTCATGGTTACTGGATTCCGATAAGTTTAGAGATTGGCTTGAACAAGAAAACTCATTTTTATGGATTAACGGCGGTGGTGAGTCTCCTTGTGTACATCGATAGCTTCGCTAACAACATTTTAAAGCTGGAGCTGGGAAATCAATCTTATGGTAAGCCGGAGTTCTGATGCATCAGTCACTCGCTCCTTCTCCCTTCCAGTAGCGAAAATGGTTGTTGATAATCAAATAGCTCCACAGCAATTGAACATGTTCAGGCGAGATGCGTGGGAAATCCGTTTTCAGTGGTTACATATTGGTACTTCAGTTTTTCGGATTCTGAAAAGCAGAAACTATACCCCTGTCTCTGCTCGATTATTGCTGGCATCCTCAGCAAGAGACGTGACATACCTACCACTCTTTGGATGGGATACGAGCGATCGAATCGTGGCCAGCTGAAGCCCTCCTTAAAAGTCTCATTTCAATACTCAAAGAAGTTACGGAGAGCTTTGATGACATTTACATTGTCCTGGATGCACTCGATGAGTTTCCAAGGTCTAATGACGGAAAAGGCAGGAACGAACTTCTGAAGTGCATTCATAAAATTCGAGGTCTTCAGATTAAGTCTTTACATTTCCTCGCGACAAGCAGGAAAGAGGCCGACATCTTGAAATTATTTGGTTCGTTTGCGACCATTGATGCAGCTGGTGCTGACGTCGAGGCGGATATCAGAAAGTATATTGACCAACGGCTACAAGAAGAAGAATTCTCTCAATGGAAGGCTCCTCTGAAGCAAGAAGTTCGTGAGAGTCTTGCAACCAGAGCAGAAGGAATGTAAGTGACAACAGTTTTTAGTGAGGCCGTCAGAGCTTACTATAAATTCTTCATTGCATAAATTAGTTCAGGAGACGTGGTGTGTACACCATTCATTGGTTGATCTTGTTTTAAACAATCTGAATTATGTACCACCTACAGCTACGTCTCATACTTCCTATGAATACTGATACCCCTATGCCTTGATGAGACATTGCTAACTTTTCCAAGGTTCAGGCTTGTTGCTCTCCAACTGGACTCCCTGAGCACTCTTCGCAGTGCCTCGAATGTTAGAACTGCGTTATTAAAACTACCCCGAACCTTGGACTCGTTTTACGAGCGCATGTTGCTCGACATCAACGAGTCGGACAAAGAACTCGCTCGACGCGCACTGGCATGGGTATCCTTCGCGGCACGCCCCCTCACATTGTGTGAGCTTGCCGAAGCCGCTGTTGCTAACCCAGAGGAGCCAGGCCTAGATCTCGAAAATGGCTTTTTCGAGCCCGAGGTCATTTTAAGTATCCTACCCGCTGGACTCATCCAAGTATATCATGAACAAAGAGAGTTGGGCCACAGCAAAGGACAAATACGCGATTTAGTTGATACGTCTTCCAAAGAGATGGTTCAATTTTCTCACTTCTCGGTGAAAGAATACATCACTTCCTACCACGATTTGGGAAGTACGGCATTGTTTTATTGTGCACTTCCAATGCCTACACATAAAATTATCGCGAAAACATGCTTCGCTTACTTGCTTTGGGTGGGCTCTCAGAGTCTCGAAGTCACAAATGAGTCACGTACCCAGTTCCCGTTACTGGACTATAGCGCTCGTTGTTGGCTATACCATATCAATCCCCTAGAGCAAGAACAGAATGAAATCACAATGGACAAGGATCTCGTTGCTTTGGCCATGAGGTTTTTGTGTTATGGTTCTGCTGCTATGAAAGTGTGGCAATCTGTCACGTTTGAGGGAAGGCGTTCTGGAAGAAGAAAACTCGAGTTCTTCTCGGCACTGAAACCTTTCTATCATTCGAATCCATGGGCAGTTAAGAAGATGGGATGCAATATTCATCCTGTGGTTTTAGTTTCGGCGCTAGGCTTTCGCGGTTTGTAAGCAGTAATACTTCAGTTCCACCCAAATCTTGATGAGCTTCCTAAGGACGACGTACTCGGAACTTCTCTTCATGCCGCTTCATTCTTTCGCAACTACGAAGTCGTTGAGCAATTCATAGCATGTGGCGCCGATGTGAATCTGGAGGGGGGCAAATATGGATTCCCATTAATTGCATCATGTGTCTATGGTGATTGTAACATCACTAGACTACTCCTGGACCGCGGTGCCAACATCGAGGCAAGAAATCAGGACAGGTATATAGCTTTATTGACTGCGGTCGATGAAAAACATGACGATATTGCCAAACTTTTGATTCAGCGTGGTGCCGCTGTCAATGGGACAAGGGAAGACGAGCGTAGTCCATTGATGATCGCCTGTGAAAACAAAAGCCTAGATATTGCTCATTTATTGATTCAACAAGGTGCAGATATTGAATGGGGAGGTACCAGGTTTGGGGCTCCACTGTATGCCATAGCTTCAGCCTCTTCCGTCCTTGATACGCTCGAAGCCATGAGGTTCCTGCTCCAAATGGTGCAAAGGTTAATAATCTAGGGGGCCAATATGGTGCACCGTTACAGGCTGCTTGTCGCCACATCAGCCTAGAGCCAGTGCAGCTATTACTTGACTCTGGTGCTTTGGTAAACTTCCAAGGGGGAGATTACGGAACCGCATTGCAAATCGCTTGTTGGAACGGGCGTAAAGAAGTTGTTGTCTTGTTGCTCAACACAGGGGCAGACGCCAATTTAAGAGGCAAGTTTGAAACAGCGTTCCACGCGGCAGTTCTCTCCCATGAGCCTGAAATAGTGGAGTTGCTACTTGCAGACGCTAAAATAAAAATCTCACGAGAACAATGGGAAAACCTTTGTGAAACTTTGAGGGAGGAAATCAAGCTCGATCCTTTGATTCTTGATAAGCTTAAATCTCACAACCTTAACGATACTAATGAAACTTTTTCAAGAAGCGCCCAAATGTTAAGACGTAGGAGGCTATAAAGCAAAAGGAGCACACTTTTAGTACTCCATGCATGGGCCATACAGAGCCAGGCAAAGATTGCCCATCTTTCAACAAGTACTTCAATTCCAGCTCAAATAAGAAATACTATTTTGAAAGCGCACACGCTCAGTGCAAAGATCTCAAAAACTGTACCAGCGCGTACAAACATCTTTTCCACCCAGATTCCTCACAGCAAACCTTGGAAAAAGCGGCAACTGAAAGCGGGAGAAAAGAATAGCTCATTTTTGGTTTCACCCTCGACTCTTCATCGTCTGTCACTTTCTTCGGTATTAAGGGAGTAATTTCAATTATAGGTGAATGCGAGGTCTGTGGTTCTTTTTTCTGTTATCGTTTTGTTGTCTCGCTTGGCTATAAGAGCTTGCAGCTGATTGAGAAAATTGGAGTATCAAATATGGAAAATGTGTGAGAGCTATTGAATCTTCTAGTGGGCCCAAAAAATAAAGAAGAACCTTTTTTGTTTTTGTCAGAACCAGACTATCACATGTTATTTATTCACGTGACCTAGCACTGACATATAAGCATTTGTAAACTAGCTACCTACCTTTTCTTCTCTAAGCAAATTAATACCTCCTAATGAGACCGCTTACTTCACTCCCTCATGACTGTTGTTATGAAAAACTGGGTGAACTGACTTAGGGTTAGGGTTAGGGTTCTAGGTTTCCAGGTTTCCTCTGTTATTTTGAAATTTTCGGTTGATTATTGTTTTTGTTATATTAATATAGAATCTTCGAGGTTTGTGAGGGTAAAGGGGTAAGAACATGTATTTATATTCATGTAACTATACAATAAGTAGTAGTAGAAGTATCCGAGTATTTTACGTCCTCAGCTGGAGATCTGGTGGAGGCACGGTTCACGTGATCCACCTGGGCAAAAGAATGAAATATATCGCAACAGATTTATTTGAATTTCTCTAATATTATCCCACAGTAGAGCCAATCCTTTGTTGAAACTTCTAACGTACTTCATAAGGAGTCCGGATTTATAAGGAGTCCGGATTTTTTACCCCACCATTGACCACCCTACACACTTTCAATATACATAACTTACCCAATTATTGTTCAAATGTCTCGAAAAGAAGGTCAAATTGCTCTTGCAATCAGTGCATACAATAAGGG